CCCGCCATCAGGCATGCATTCAGGATCACAGGGTTCCCTCATCTATCCTGATGGCGGGAGGGCAGAAAAGCCTGATTTTTTACCTTACCCTACAGTTGCTCAGTCAGGAGATGGCACAGACAGACACAAAGCCAGGCTCACCTCACTGTGCCAAGTTGCTTTACGCCCAAAGAGTATGGTGCCCACAGGTCAGGAAGCTTCCTGCGTGGTGGACTGTATCCCAGGAAAAGACACCTGTGACAAAAGGTCCACTTGGCCCTCTAGTCCAGTGGCGCCTTCATTCTGAAGCCAGGGACGCAGGGTCACTGCCATCGTCGTTCTGAGAGAATCAGCTGGTGCCATCCAGGTGTCCAAAATAATAACCCACATGCCACCTTCCCAGCTTCTTCGCCCAGCACCCCCACCATACACAGTCTCAACATGCGCTTTTATGCCTTGCTTCAGCAGTACATGCTGTTCCCCTCGCCTGGGATGCCATTCCTCCTCCTCTGCCCAACAGACTTCCTGGCATCCTTCTGGGCACCTCCAGAACTCACGCATGCGCCAGAACTCTTAACCCCGTCTCGTTCCCAAAAGTCTTTGTTGGGGAAAAGCTTTATTTCTGGTCTAGTCTCCATTTGCCCCTGCAGACTCCTTTGCATCCGGTACTGTGCCCAGAGAGGCTGACCCAGGCTGGCTGCCCGGGCCCTGAGTTCAGCCAATGAGGAGCCCCCAGGAACCTGGAGCGTGAGGTCAGGCTCTCCACCTGGTCCCCAGCCTGCCTGTGTCCCTCCAGGAAATGAGTCCTTTCCTCACCCTCCAGGCCCCAGGGCGGTCAGAATGTCCACCGACTCACCTGGTTCTGCACCCCCATGTGCACACCCTCCTACCCCGCCCACACCTCTGTGAATAGCTGTGTTATTCAACTCTCTCCGGACTCCCCATTGCGGTGGACAAGCTCTAGGGCCTGCCCATACAGTCCCATGCAGCCCTGCGTGCCTTAGAGCCGCTGTGCCCGGAGACTGGGTGGAGGGCCGCACGGGAGCCAGTGTCTCAGTGCAGAGGGAGACACAGAGAGGACACTTGGGGAATGTCCTCCACTCGGATTGCCCTGAAGCACCACCCAGTCCCACCCGTGGGGTCGAATGGATGGCACCGGGTCGGACTCATCCATTCATTCACTAGTGTGTTCACTCATTCAACACAAATACTCACAGAGGCTGCGTGACCAGGCTCTGGCAGGCCAGACCCGATGAAGCTCTCGGAGCTGGCACCGCTGAGGGGAATCAGGCACAAACAAGTGAAAGCAATCACACGCGCTGTTGCAGATGGTGGTATAGTCCAGGAATAGAGCAAGGTAAGGGTACCCAGCAACAGGAGTAGAGGTAGGGTTGTAGCTGCATGGTCAGGGGCCAGTGGACATGAAGGATATGAAGGAGTGGGGTCAGGCGATGCTCTGCGGCAAGGACATTCCCTACCCAGGACCAGGAGCTAGGAAGGCTGCAGCAGGAGCCATCTTGGCCCACTGAACAGCAGGGAGGCTAGGGCAGATGGAGGGCAGGGGAGACTCCAAGGTGCTAGAGTGGGGACTTGCTTTCTTGTAAGGCCCCTTCTGACTCTGAGATTTGCAGACCCCACAGGGGGTCCTGGGCAGGGCCCGCTGGCCAGCCACTTCCCGAGTCCATCAGGTGGAGACACGCAAGGGTGCCTTCCTCGTGATCCCTCAGTCTTCTACCGCCATTCTACACATGAGGGACCTGAGGCTCAGAGAGGTTAAGCAATCTGCCCAAGGTCACAGAGTCAGAGAAAGAATTGGAAATGAACCCAGATCTGCCTGACTCACAGCCCAAAGGTGTTTTCCAGAGCCAGCATGTCTATGTGCCAAGGCCTTGCTCATCAGTAACACTGGCCTAACAGGGATGGAAGGCAGGGGGACCTAAAGCTCCCAGCCAGGTGGAGGCCCATCCCAAGGCCACACAGCCACACAGAGGAGGCTGGTTCAAGCCTGGCTGTCCCAGAGCCCTTCCCTCCCCCCACGCCCTGCAAAGGGGAAATTGGCAGGTGAGGAGGAAAGTGGAACCAAGCCTGCCATGCCCTGACGCTCTTCCAGGGCCAGGGCGTGTTGGCTAATGGGTATCATTTCAGCCCTTTCATTTCTAATAGACACTGTGCTGTCATAAAGACTGTCATTTCCTGCGGCTCACGCAGGATAATCAATGTGCTGTCTGCCCGGAGGGTTGGGAATGGCAGTATTTGGGCACGTCTGTGAGGATAAAACCACACTCTCTTCTCAGCCATTCCAGTTCTTTCCCAACCAGACACACCCCTTGTGTTTGAGAACACGGGTCTGGGGTCCCAAAGGGCCCCAGGTCACTGCATTGCTCCCCCGCTTGGAAAAGACCTGTCTTCTCCTAGCTTCACTTCCACATCCCACAGGCAGGTGATGGTAGGCATAGCCATTCCCGGCCAAACCTCAGTTTCTTCATCTGTAAAATGGGGGCAATTATGTCTGCCTCACAAGATAGCTGAAGCAAGAGGAAAGAGTTGCCACGTAGTCAGTGCCTAGGAGGTGGTAGCTGTGACAGTGACAGTGTTGGAGTGAGAGCATGCTTGTCACATCTTGAAAATAGAAAACGGGGGCTAGAAAAGGGAATGGGCTTCCCTGAGGTCACACAGGAAATCACTGGAAAACTGAACCTAGAACTTGGGTTTCTAGGCCAGAGCTTTTGTGTGGACTCAGGTCAGTGGCAACCACTGAGTTTTACCAAATCCTTCCTGTGTGCCGGGCACTGTCACACATTATCTCCTTTAACCTTCACACTGAGCTGGTTTGATGGGTGTTATCATCCCTGCTTCACAGGTAAATAAGGTGGAACTCAAGGAGATGAGTCACTTGCCCAGTGTCATGTAGCCAGCAAGTAGTGGAGGCCTTGTTTGGCCTTAGGTGGTCTGGCTCCAGAGCTGGAGCCTGGGCATCTGAGCAGCGGCCCCTGAAGATCAGTTGCTGAGAGTTGAGACTAAGGCCCCCGTTTTCCCACACACATGCAGGTGCACATACACCATCACACACTCACTCAGCTTGGGGGTTAGGCCTGGCACAGACCAGGATGCTGTCTCCTCCCACCCTGTTATGAACAGACAAGGATGAAGCCAGCTTGGTCCACCCACCCCAATTTCCACCAGCAAAATCCTCAGGCCCACCCATGTGTCTTGGACAGCAAAACTCCTGCAGCACCCTCAGAGAAGATCTGGTGTGGGTCCAGTGCTCCTCAGAGAGGGAAACTGAGCCCTGACAAATTTGTAACGTGCTCACGACCCGGGCTGGTGAAGGTAGCCTGGCTCAGAGGCTGGAGGAGTCTGAGTGTGAGAAGGTAGGTGGGCAAGAAAGAAAGGGGCCTCTGTCTAACATGCCAAGTGGCTCTCAAGACCCTGCTGCTGGCACGTAACCCTGACAGACTCCCTAATTCCTCATGCCAATTCACCTGCACAGCAAGCTAGGAACTGTGGTTCCATTTTGCAGGTGGGAGAAGACCTCTGGCATCGAGGCTCAAAGGGACTTGCCCAAAGTCACACAATAAAAAGAACTTGGGCGTAAACCTAACGTCCCAATGCCCAGGCGCTTTTTGTCTTGCTTCATTCTTTTCTTTCTTTGTTGACCCTTTTCTCTCTAGCTTTCTTTGCAAATTACCAACCTTCCCCCATGTCTTCACCCAAGTGAGCGTCCCGCACACAGGACCCTCCTTTGACCTGTCCCTGCCGCATGCCAGGAGCCTGTCACAGCAGAAAGCACACAGCTGGGAGACCAGTGGATGTGCCCCAGGTCTTTGCAGGGGCTGTAATTGGGCTGCAATTTGTTTCAGTGATGCCAGTGCTCAGCGAGGTCAAGTTGGAGACTTCTGCTATTGTGGAAGGACTCAGAGATTCATTATGCAAATATTAAGGTGGGCAGGGGAAAGTGGTGTAGTATAAATGTGATTTTTGTTTATTTTTCATTAGCCAGATTGCTCCACTTCCTGGTGTGTAGAGCTCTGGGAAGGGCTGGACCAATTTGCATGAGGATGCCAGAGGTCTTCTCCCAGGGAAACACTGAGAACCAGTCCCCACTCTCTGTCATGTGAACTAGAAAAACATAATGGACTGGAGTACTTCCCATCAGGCTGGAGAAGCTCTTAAGCGAAGTGCAATGGCAGGAGAAGGTCCAGAGAGCTCCAAAAAGAACTCATCTGGTGGTCTATGCTCAACACTGGGGTAAGGACAGAGACACGGGTCTTTAGTCAGTTTTTCAGTCAAGGTTCACATCTTCAAGGTGAAAGAGACACCAGTCCTCAGTGTTCAGCTCACAACTGAGCACAGTGTGCAAATGCCTGAGCATATACAGGGATCTGATCCGCAAGGGACAGGCAGCCACCAGGATGCACCCAGGCGGACTTCAACAGCGACACCATGTGGCCAGGGATGGAACCACAGCACTAAGTGCGTGTTCAGCGGCCTTGTTCTCTGTCCCTGGAGTTTGGAGGCAGGACTGATCTGCTTAAATAAAACCTTCAGGATACCTGGGTCAATTCAGGGGAAGGAAATCCCTGAGTGGATACTGAACTTCTTGCTAATGACGCTGAGGATGAGCTGGAAAAACGAGAGGTCCCCTTATTTGTGGTAAAGCCCCTGTTGAAGTTACAGAATGAGTTCGTTTCATCAACTCTGACACCAGTGACCACAACTATCTACACTGACAAGTCACACATGCAGGAGAGTTCTTTTCTATGGTAGTACATCTTTAATATTAGCAACAATGGTGGTTATGTGCACAGCACAGCCTCTGTCCATCACGAGCTCTTCACCACTCACGCTCTGCTCCCACCCCAATCAGGGAGATAAGCAGGGCAGAGTCACAGTCCCAGGAAACAGAGGCTCCAAGAGAAATGGTGACTTGCCCATCATCACCAACAAGTCAGCAAGGCCCACCCCTTGGGGGCATCCCCAAATTGCCTCCCAGGGATACCAGCTATCGGGCCCCACCCTGCCTGCTCACAGCAGCATCAGCACTACGATGGCGATGACCATGAGGACTCCTGCCAGGATGCAGAGGCCCAGGAAGACGATGTCACTGGTGTCCTGGGCCACCACGGCCACTGGGCCCTCTGGAGCCTCTGCCTTAGCCCTGGGAGGTGCCTCTTGGAGGTGCTCAGCTGTAGCGTCATAGGGCCCAAGCCAGTGGGAGCCGGACAGCAGGTGGACAGAAGCCTCCTTGCGCCGTGGCTCGCAGAGGACCTCGTACTCATGGACGTCCTCCTGCCCGCCGGCCGAGAAGTCGATGTACAGCACGCTGACGATCACTGCTGTGTTGTTTCTTCTCTGTGGGGTCACAGGCACTTGCTCACACCTGCAGGGGCCGGGTTACCCCTGTTCCCCTAGAGTGTAGGGGCTCGGTGTCCCCACAAGGAGACAGAGTCCCTGGAACCTGGGGTCTAGTCCCAGCTTGGCCACTGACTCCTTTGAGTGTTCCCATCTGAGAAAGGGTGGGCACTAGGAGGGCGAGCTGTTGGGAGGGCGAGATCAGATTCAATGGACCAATGTTTGCTGTGGGGTCTATGAAAGGCAGTGATGATTATAATAGAGACATTTGTATGTTCTGGGCTCTGTATTTTAATTCTCACAACAACCTTCTTATCAGTACCATTATATCTCCATTTTACAGATGAGGAAACTGAGGTGCCAAAGTTAAATCCCTCGTCTGAAGTCACATAGCAAACAGGTGACAGAGAACATATTCTACCCAGATCTAGCCAATTCTTAACTGTGTTTTGGCCTTCCTGCCTCAATCAAACCGAAGAACATAGAACCAAAAGGGCACCTAGTTTTATCTCTGTTCTTTGGCAATTACAGATGTGAATACTGAGGCTGAGCAAGAGCAGTAGCTGCCCAGGACTAGGCCCAGAAGCCAAGGCTACTGCCTCCCAGTTAGATCTACCTGGTGTGGGGTATTATACGACAATCCTTCTAGAATTTTTTCTCCAATTATGTGTCTCCACTGCTGAGTTGCTTGTCACCCCAATCACCCACTCAAGAGTTGGGAGAACCACTGAGGAGCAAGATGGGGGTGGCCCACCCACTGTCACCCTCCCCACCTGACAGGTGTGGGAACAGGAGTCACACTCCCCTGAGAAGGTGGGGTGTTTGGAGCAGCGACCGAGGGGCAGTGTTGTAGTGGGCAGTCTGGAGCAAGCTGGAAGAGGGGTTGCAGTGGCGCAGGATACTCCCCCCACCCACCCCAAGATGGCAGCAGCCATCGCCCTCCTCATGCTGCCTGCCTGCCATGTCCAGTGTGAGGCACTTCCGTGATGCACCTTCTATAACTCGACACTGTCTAACACAGCACATGGGTGTGAGCAGTAGTGGAACCACGGGACACCCCCTCAGGGAAGGCTATGAAGGGGAGTCACAAATCTGGAGTTTGTGGATAGTCTGTCTGCCACCAAACCCTCTGAGGACACCTGGTGTCCTGTGACTTGTGATACTTAATAGGAACACTGAACAAAAACAGATAAGACCTGAGAATGAAGGGGACCCAGTAGGCTCAAGGGACTCTTACATAATAAAGATGGAGGAAAAATCACATAAAATGAGGTGGGGCAGTTGTAGGGGGTTTTGGAGAGTAAGAGATGTGAGCAGGAAAGGTCACACAGGGTGTGAAGATGAGGTGCCCCTGAGCTCCAGGGAGGACAGGAGGAACAGCAGGAAGGAATCCCCAATAGGAGCTTTTGATCATCACAGGGTTGTGCAGAGAGTCCCCTGATTTGAGTTGTTAGTTGTGTTGAGCAAGTTCCATGAGGTAAAGCCAAGGGGGCTGAGCTCCACATCCAGGCTCATGTGGCCACAGAGGCAGGAAGAGAAGCTGAATTCTCAGGCATGGCAGGTGCCTTTTAGCAAGTCCTCCCTCATGCCCATCCTCCTCCCCCCAGCCCCTACCTGAGACTCAGTGCCACAGGTGTCAAAGTGGGCCTGGATCCGGAAGTTGCTGCCTACTTCCTGGGCCGCACAGCTCCGGCTGCCCAGGTAGACCTTGGTCCGATCCAGGGGGGCCAGCGCCTGCGCAGAGATCAGAATCTGGAAATCCGTGCGGGAGCAGCTCACATTCATGGGTACCACTGGGGACAGTAGGGAGGAGCTGGAGGCCTTGGGGACAGGCCGTCTGACCTCTCCCCTCCCCTCCCCAGGTCTCCACCCAAAGACTGGAGAATAGGAAAGCCAAGATCCAGAAGGGGACTGGCTCTTACATAGCCCCACGGGGATAGTTTACAAGCGTTATTCCGCTTAACTCCTCCAGACTTTGGGATCTCCGCGGCAGGCACCAGGCCTGCTTCTCGGTGTCCTTTGAGCCCAGCACAAAGCTTGGCAGGCATAGGGAATGCTGAATGAATGATTATTTTATCATAATAAAAGCTGCTCTCCGCTGATTGCTTTGCCATGTGCCTGCATTCATTCAATCATGTAGCAAGTGAGTTCCTGTATTCCGGGAGCTTACATTCTGGTTGAGTGAGGGGCCAATAAATATGTAAAACACACTAGTGTCAGAATGGTCTGAAGGAGAATGAAACAGAGGAGAAAGAGGGGAAGAGCAGAGTGTTGGGAGGGGTGAGGGTGGAGTTAAATTGCAAAGGGAGGCAAAGGCAGCCTCACTCTCATGATGACCCCATGAGTGGAGGTAACCAACCCCACTTTACAGTTTGAGAAACCAAAGTTCTGACAGGGGAAGTTGTTTGTAGTGGATGAGTCAGGATTTTAACCCTTGAATCTACAGGATTCCAAAGTTCAAGTTGTTTCCACCCTATCTGGTGGACCCTGGGTTTACGTGAGTGTGTGTATGTGTGTGTGCGTGTGCATGTGTGCGTGTATGTGTGATTGTGTATGTGTGTGTGCATGTAAGGGGGCAGTGCTTTCTGGGGCAGGGGGAAAGGAGGGGTGGCTGCTGAGGGGAAAGGAAGGAACTGGCAGGCAGAGGCCTGGAGCTCTCACCCCTCTCCGGGAAATGCCTCAGACATATTTCAGCCTCTGGTGTCTGGGCAGTCAGGGATTTATGGGCCTGCCGTCTCCCACGATGATCTCGGTGGCGCTGAACTGTGTGTCACCCCTGATTGATGCCGAGGGCTGTCCTCCCTCTGGGAGGCCTCCTGCAGCCTGGGCCACATCTGGAGCCTCAGCTAGCAGGAGTGCCCCTGTCTGACCCTAGGCTCCCACAGGGATCCAGGGAGGGCTGCGGGGTGGGGTGGGGTGGGTGCACTGAAGCCCCTGTAATAGGAGCCAGGATTAAAGCTGCCCCAACCTGAGTTCCTGGGGAGAAGGGGCTTGCCCAAGAGCACACAGCTGGGAGAGGACCCAGGCCCAGAAATAAGACTCTCAGAGCCAAATGGAACTTAAAAGATCCGTCAACCAATGTCCTCGTTTTATAGATGGAAAAGCTGGACCCACATAGAGAAAGCAACTGGCCAACTGGACCAAGCCCGATGGCACCTGGCTCTCCAAGAACACTCGGAGAAGGGGGAGCTCCAACAGATGACAGATCTCCTTCCCTAGTGCTTAGATGCACCAGTGAGCCCAGGATTGTCCACCTGGGTCATTTCACTGCTGCCAGCTTGCTGCAGCTCTTTAATTTCCCTCCCCATAACTGGGACCCCAATCTTCTCTTGCATTTGAGGTGAGGAAAAAGGAAAGACATTTTAGATGTAGAACAGGCTTGAGACGCAGGGGGGTAAGAAATTCACCCTCGGCAAGGACATCCCCAGAGCCAGGCGCTATGGCCTGTGTTGCCTTATTTCATCCTAAAGCTGCCTGGCATCAACCCACTGTTCAGATGAGTCCACTTGAATGGTTAGTGAATGGCAGCCTTTGGATGTGGCCCTGTCTGTCGGAGCTCAGCCCTGCCACCCCCACCCCTGCCCTATCCAGCCACAGAAGAAGGCCAAGGAGTGCATGCTGGTCTTGGCTGCACCACCAGCTTTCCAAGTGACTGCAGTCACCCTTTTCCTCTCACTGCACCATCATTTCTACACATACATGTAAGGAACTGTAGCCTGGTCAGGCTGAGGGCAAAATGGGTCCCGAGCACAGGCATTTCTGGGTCCAGCCCCAGGGAAGGATGGTGAGAGGAGTGGAGAGAATGGATTCTGATGATTGACAGCTATAACTGGCATCAGTGAGGATGGGAAAGCTGAAACCAGCTTCCCGGCCTTCTCTGCAGCTAGGCGTGACCACATACAGGCCAACGAGACCAAGACATCCTCTTGGTCTCAAGATTCTGAAAATGCTTTTGCTTTCCTAAGAAAGGGATGTTTGTGGCTGGCACCTCCACTAGCCCTTTCCAGTCCTGAACAAGGACATGATGTCTGGAGTTGTGGCAGCCATCTCGTGCCCATGAGACCATGAGGATCCCAGAAATGGCATCCTCCACAGGGTGGAGGATCCCAGAAATGGCAGCTGGGACAGTGTGGAATTCCTGAACCAACTGGCAGTGCTTCCCTCCAGGCTTCTTTTTACATGAGGAAAACATTCCACCTGTTCTAGCCACTGTCAGTCAGGATTTCTGACGGATATAAGCAAGACTGGTTAGCATCTCTGTGGTGATACCAATTATTTACCATAAACAACATCATTGTATTTTGCATATTACCCCTAGACACAGAGGATCAATCGTAGTAGGAACAAGAAAAGGAGCCAAATGGGGAGTAACGAGAAATTGTGGAGTTGGGAGCTGGAAAAACAGCCCTGCAGCAGTGGAAATAAGTGAGGGTTGTGCAGGTATGGTCTCAAAGGTCATAGAGCAGGATTCAGCAGTGGTGTGACACCCAAAAAGTGCTCAGAGAAGACCATTCACCGGAATGAGGATGAGCTGTGGAATGTAGAAAGGAAGCTACAGGCCTGGGGCCCTGCCTCACCTGTGCCCACCACCCACCCGCAGCCCCAGCTGACCTCCGATGTAGGCCACAGAGAAGCCCCTGTGGGTGGTGCTGCGGTCCGTGTGCAGCAGGAGCAGAAGCAGGTTTTGGCTCGAGGTGAAGGGTGGCGGTAGGTGGTGGCCACACCAACTCCCCAGCAGGGGCGCCTCTTCACTGGCCCCATCAAAGGCCTCCAGGTGGTCGAAGTCACAGGTCCTGGTCAGGCTGTTGGGCTCCTCCAGTTCCAGGTCTAGGAAGAACACCTTGACCCGGTAGCCGGGAGGCAGGTGGATGGTCCAGTGGCACCGGATGTTGTTGGGATAGGGGCTGGGGTACTGCGGGCTGGAGAAGTTGCCCCGCGTAGTTGTGTATACCTCCTGGCATTCTCCTGGATGGGGGGAGGGGTGGGAGCAGAAGGGGCAGGGTAAGAAGGGGTTCTAAAACCACCCTCGGGCCTCCCTGGTGGCTCTAGGGGTTAAGCACAGCACTGTGAAGCTATGCGCAGCCACTGTAGCACGAGTTAGATCCCTGGCCGGCCAGGGAGATACCTACATGGCACAGCAGACCTCTTCTGTCTCACCCACTGCTGCCTCAGCAAAGTATTTCACCCCCCATACCTCTGTACCCCAGTTCTTGTATGCATAAATAAATAAATAAATAAATCTTTAAAAAAATAATAAAAGCACCCTGGCAGGTTGTGGGCATCATGATCAGCACACCAGAGAATGGGCCCTAAAAACTTTAAATTGAGACTAGCTGGAGTGGGAACTCTTATTCCAGTTGGTAATTTCCTTCATGTGTATTGGTGCTATTAACAATTCAGTAACATTATCCAATACCTGTCCTCAAAGTTGAGTCCAAACTAGCACTTGACAAAGTGGTCTGGGCCCTGAACTTACACCTTTTTCAGTGTCCCTCAGCCAGCCCTAGGCTCACCAAGCATCTAGTAGTACAAGCACTAAACTCACCACGTACTCCATGCCGTGTACTCCATACACATACTGTACCCATACACCGTGTACTCCATACTGTACACATACACCGTGTATTCTATACACATACTGATCTCTACATAGAAAACCCTTCACTTCCTCTGCCTTTGGCTAACTCCTTCAAAGCATTGCTCAATTCCCTCCTCCTCTAGGAAGTTATCCATGATTTTTAATGTTAGCACAGATCACAATGGGTTGTCATTGTCTGTTTCTTTCTCCATTTCCTTCACTAGAGAGTAAACTCCCCCAAATTTCATTCATTCATTTGCACAAACTTTAATTGAATATCTACAATGTAGCAGGAGCAAAGATAAACCCAGAGGAATCCAGTCATACAGGTGAGATCAACATACAAACTTCATACAGAATGGATATGTTTTAGATCATTGTTGGGCAAAAAACATCTATCCAGAGTTGAAGGAAGGGATTAATTCTGAGAGAATCGGGAAGCCTTCATAGAGAAGGTGGCATGCTTATGCTTTGGTTGAACAGGCAGGAAAGGTGTGCTAGAACATGCCAGGTGGAAAGATCAAGAAGTGTAAGGCCAGGGGCAGTAAAGCATGGCCCCCAAAAGCGTCACAAGGAGGCAGAACCCAGCATGCACAGGGCACTGACAGAGGTACAGCCTCAGCCCCTCCTACCTGAGAAGTAGTAGGCCTTGAAGCCCCGGCCTCCGATGTTAAAGTCAGACTTGAAGACCACCTGTAGCTCATGGCCCCGAGACACAAGGGTGGGGGGCTTGGTGCTGCCACAGTAGTGGTGGCCAAGGGCAGGCCCAGGCCCCCCGAGCACAGCCACGTAGTCGTAGGTGCACTCCTCATTGCCCTCCACCTGGAAGTCTGCGAACACCAGCTTGACAGCGGTGGGGCCTGTGGCCCGGATCACCCAGCGACACTCCACGTTGTTGGGGTAGTTGTTGGGGTACTCAGGGCTGGCAAGGACCCCCGACAGACCAGTCAGCATGCCACCACACACATCTGCAAGGGAGCCTGCATGAATCCACCTTTCTCCCTCCCCATGGCTCCCAACACCTCCCTTAGAAACTCCACCCAAAACAGCACCCCTGCAGGATGCCACAAGACCCCCTCACCATCCTTCCAGGCCAGTTTTGAAAACCGTTATCACTGTCCTATGAGAAATGCACAGTGGTTGGTCCCATTTCACAGCTGAAAAAATGGAGCACAGAGAAGCTAACTTACCTGTGAGGATTTAGGTTCTCTCAGGCAACCCTGAGATAATTATTTGAGTACAAAGAATAAATATGGCCCCAGGTGGGGATAGAGGGAGTGACACAGGGACAGATGGGAAGGTAGCCTTGAAAGGGTGTTGTCAAGCCAGTGGCTGAGCCCTGCTGGGGAATGGTGAGGAAGCTGGGGCATTATATACCAGCTCTCGAAAGCCCAAACCAAGGGCTGCAGTAGTCAAGGGCAGGGAAGAGGGTGAAGGAACTCGGCAGGGGTGTGACACCAGCTCCACACAGTCCTCCTAGAAACTTCCACTCCTAAGGACTGAGGGCAGGGGTGAGGGGGTGGGAGTGGTGCTGCAGAAAGGGGATTCCCGTGCCCATGAAGTGATGGGTTGCTGCAGAGGGGTCAGTAGCGGTGACAGCACTGTGTCCTTATCCATGTCCTGGTGCCATGGCCTGAGATAAGGTCAGGGGTAGGAGGGCACGAGGGGCCTCATTCCTGAGCACAGTGAGACTCTCTGGGGACTCTCAGAATAACAGGGAGACGCGGGGACCGTTGTCAGGAAGGTGGGAACCCACAGCTACCAAGATTTACAGACGGGCCAACTTTACCTGCCAAGTGGTGAGAGCACGACCATCCAGGTACAGAGCAGCTACACACCAAGGTGCTAAGACTCTGCGAGTCTCACCTCCCTGTTCCTGCTCACCCCCACCTCCAGGTTGGCCCCCCCCTCCGCAGCCAAGTTCCCCTTGCCTTTCTGGTAGCCTGCAGAAAAGCCGCGGCTGGCCACGTGCTTGTCTGAGTGGAAGACCACAGACATGACATGCCAGGATGAGGTGAAGGGTGGCGGGGGCACCTGGCCGCAGAACCTCCCCAGCAGGTTGCCCTTGTCTCCTGAGGCTCCGTTGTAGATCTCCAGGAAGTCGAAGGCGCAGGTGTCGTGGTACTCCAGGTCGAAGGCGTGGAAGGTGAGCAGCACATAGGAGCCCTCGGCCACCACAATCAGCCAACTGCACTCCGTGTTGTAGGGGTAGAGCCTGGGGAAGTTGGGGCTGGAGAAGTTTCCAGAAGGTGCTGAGAGCACACCCCCACATTTGACACCTGGGACAAGAGGGAAGAATGGTTCGGAGTGAGTCAGTGCTGGGGTTTTGGGCAGTGAGCGCAGTTACAAAGATGGGTCTTTGGGATGGAGTAGGGGCGCATGAGGCCCTGGCCCTAAATCAATTCATTTTTTCTTTTATTTGTTCTTTTCTTTTATTTGTTCTTTTACTTACTTATTCTTCAAATACTTGTTGAGCTTTCTTTTATCCATTCACCAAACGTCATTTGAGAGCTAGGGGTTATAGAAGAAACAAAACAGACAAAAATCCCTGCCCTCGTGACTTTACTTTCTGGTGGGGAAGACAGACAGTAAACATAAGGAAAATATAGAGCATATTAAATAGTGATAAGTGCTATGGAGAAAAATAAAGCAGGGAAAAGAGATTTTACAAAGTCGAGGATGGCCTGTAATTTTAGATAAAAGAGAACTACATCCCAAATCCAAGATATGTGCAATGGGGAATATAAAATCAGTGATAGTAACACCCCACCCTTCCCCAAGTGAAAATGTGCACAGCCTATGACAATGTTACAAGTACATTCTTATACATACTATTTAAAAAGGAAAACAATGGAAGGAAACCAATAAAAACCATTCTCTGTCAGGGGAAGGAGCAAACAGAGGGAGGAAGCCAGCAGGGATGCTTGACCTCCTCTGATGTGACTTGTTTTATAATTTTGACTTTATAATCATTTTAGAGAACAAAAAAATTCTTTTAAGTCTCCCAAACGGAAACAAATAAAGTTAACTATATGTCAAGTTGGAGGCATGCTCACATGGGGAAAGTGAGTTCAAATGACTGGGAAATGCACTATGAGACTGTATATGCCCAGCGGGGTATCCATCTCAAGAACAACATGAACATTAAATTCAGTAAACTTATTATTAGTAATATTAGTAAATACTGTTGTCCTAAAAGTATTTTATATATTGGAATAAAGCAGGTGTATTCATGTCAATAGACATTAATATTTTCAGTATAAGAGATACAAATATAAAATAAAATAATTAACTGGAATCCTTGCAATCCTTCATCTGAATTGAAAATATCAGTATGAATTTAAGATTTATTTTATTTATAAAATAAGTCATTCCCTTGGTCTATTCATGAAAAGCTCTCAAAGTCATGATATTCCAGTGGTATTGAGTACTCCTAGGCCTTTGAGGATTATAACGTCCAGCTAAAATGTAACAGCACTCCTTAGAGAAATGATTGGGCTAGGACAAGAAAGATATTAAATATGCGTGGGACATCTTGACAATGCCAGAAAGCAAAGAAATTATCAACATTGGCTTGGATTGTGTCAAAGGACACAGGAACCTGCTTGAAGTGGCTCTTATGGGCTAAAGAAGATAGAATTTGAGCAACAAAAAAGAATAATGACTGCAGTGGATGGAAACACATCAAATAGGTAAGAATCCATGGGTTCATAATGCAACTCAAAATAAATGAAAAATAAGCTCTTTGATTTAGAGATTGTGGGACGCTAACTCATTTTTTTGAAAATTAATATATAAAAAGAGAAAGTAGTAAGCATCTACTCTGCCTTTCCTGTTAGGAACTGCATTTTGGGATAACCAAATAGATGAGAAAGAAAAATTGTAATCTATAAAAGCCTGCAGAAAAAAATAACAACACTAAAACCATGCTTTCACAACCCTTGCTGAAATAATAGACAAAATCATCATCATCTTTTCTAATCATCAAATTAAAAGGCAAAGGATGAGCGGTAGGGCCTCCACTGAAAGGTTAGGGAACTACTCCCTGTAAAACTCTTTTACTGTTTGATCATTTTTATAGTTAAAAACTAGCCCCAAAGTTAAGTTGGTAGGGAACCTTATAATGGATGGATTAGGCTAAGGACTGCTGAACCCTGTGATGGCTTTTAACCCCAAGTGGAACATGTGCCGCTGGGAGAAGGTTCCCATCCCACCACCTGTGACATCTTCTCAGAAAAAAAATTAAGGAGGCTGGAGATGCCTCCGAGTGAATACGTGAAATAGAGTGAGCATGGAAGCTGCACTCCTGCCACCCTGGTCACAGGGCCAATGTGTTCCTTTTCCTCCTTAAACTCCTCCAGGCTGGATTTCTGTCTCTTGCAACCCAAAGCAACCTCAAGAATACATTTAATTAAGCTCCTGTAATAGAAGACACATCCTCTGAGCAGATGCTGACTCAGAATATGCCTCACTCTGGGCGCTCACAGCAGGGTTTTGGAGTAGGGGCGAGGGAGTCAGGCAAGTGTAACAACACTCTGCAGGGCCACACAAGGGTCCAGTGTGTAACAGGCCAGCACAGTTAGGGGAGGAACAAGATTCACAGAGGAAGTAATTTTGAGTTTGACTAGGAGGAACAAGAAGGGTTTGTTAGTTGGGGAAGATTTGGAGAGAGGAAATGGCATGAACAAAGGCTCAGACTCACCATCATTTAGCTTCCTGAGCCTTAGTCATGCATCTGTGAAATGGGAACAATGACATCCTCCCAGCTGTGTGGCTCCCTAGCATTGTGGCTCCCTTGCAAAGCTGTGCAAGACAGCAAAACACACACTCGGTTCCACATGATTGGCTCCCTATCCTGCCCCTACCCGGGCCAAACAAGGCAGGGACACTGTCTGATTCATGCCTTTATGGCAGGAGGACAGAGGGATATTCTGCCCAGGCACCTGTTCCTGTCCTTTCCTCCAACCCTTTACCAGGGACAAGAAAAACTGTGAGAGCATTGGAGCAGAACACCTGTGGCCCAGGAGGCCCTGGATGCCAGCACAAGTAGAGGTTTTATCTTCCAGGAGTCAACCAGGCACCCTGACCCTCAGGATCACCCCAAGGCCACTGAAGCCCCTATGGCTGGAAAATGGGAACAGCTAGCTCCTTTCACCACCCAGGCATGGAGTAAGAAAACACGGTACTCAGCCCATATCTGCCACTGACTAGGTGACCAGTAAGTTGTTTTCCTTCTGAGCCTCACTTGAGCCTATAGGAAAACAAAGTACTGAAAACTGTTTGTTGAGCCCATGATGCATGTGCCCCACCCCTCTTGGAGATGGGTGAAATGTTATCTCCCTGGCTTATAAACAGATAAACAATGTTTGGGGCAGGGGAGTTGGGTTGGAGCAGCATAAAGCAACCTAGGACCAGAAGGTTCTTGTTGCATCTGAGACTGATGAAGGGACATGGAGGGCTTCCTGGAGGAGGTGGTGCTTCACCTGAACTTAATGAATGAGCTAGATGTTTTCAGCTAGAAAAAGAGAAAAAGGACCTTCCAGGACCTTCCAGAGAGGGGTGAAAGCCAAAGGTGAAGCATCTCTAAAAGAGTATGTGAGCCTCTGCAAAGGACAGGACATCAAAAGGACACAGGAACCGAGGCTGGACATTATATAGAGATTGGAACAAAACTCAGAGGGCACTGAATGCCATAATAAGGAACTTCAATGTTACTTGGTTGATGGTGGGAAGTATAGCAGGTTCTCAGGAGGAGAATAAAGACTCCTTCCAGCAATACACTTTCAATAGTTTTCTGAGTCATTCTCTTTCCCCTTGGTAAACATGCCACCTTGGACAACTTACTTAATCTTTTGAGTCCTCAGTTTCCTGATCTGTAAAATGGAGGACTAATACCCAACTTAAAGTCTGCTACATAGATCAATCACAATCATACATGTAAAGCATCCAGCATAGCAGACAATGGGTAAACATTGATTCCCCCTCCCAACTCGAAACAAATACATCCTCAACTCAGCCAGCTCCCTTAAAAGGGTCTCCCGCTTTCTGGCCTCCCACAGCGAGATTTCCTGAGAGTCCAGCTGCTGCCTGACCACCTCACCCCCTCCTCTGGGTTCCTGCCTGTCCCCAGGAGTTCTTACCTTTCATAGCTTGGGCCCTGGGGCCTGGGCCCAGCAGAGCCACTGCCAGCAGCAAGCAGGACCCTAGCTCTGCCAGCATGTCCTCACCGGGGGCCCCCACAGGTCTGTGGAGCTGAAGGGAGGCCAGGATCTGAGAGTCGGAGCAGGGGAAAGAGAGGTGAGGCTGAAAGGGCCTCCAAGTTAATGGTGGTGTGAATAATTCATCCATCCCTCGAATTAGTAAACGGATCCTTCACTCCACCCTAAGGTGACGGATCTAGTGTCACCAGGTTTACACATTCTGATATCTGCTCTGGTCGCATTGTATTCGAAGGAAAGCAACTTGAGGGTGGAAGAGAATTTGCTGGTGGAGAAAGTTATGAGTTTGGGGGCTAGGTAGCTATGGTACCATCCCAGGTCAGTGTCTAACTTGCCAGATGAGCCTTGAACAAGTTGTCTAACTTCTTTGGGTCTTGATCTTACTCATCTGTGCCATGGGGCTGTGGAGCGCAAGTGACAGCATGTGCTAAAACACTTAGTAGCACTTGCCACAGGTTTTCCCCATTCTCCACCCAAGGGGGGTTGAAAGGAACCTCTAATAAGTGGGACCAGCATCCTTCACACATGCTTAGATTACTTCAGGGACAGTAAAGGAGGTTGCAGTGGATAGCTGACTAGGGAAAGTCTTTTTCATGGAAGAATGCAGCATGAATAAGAGCATGGGAAAATCATACTGTGTGGCAGCTCATGCAATCATAGATCTCGGCCACAGTACACATTCTGGCTAAAGATATTAAATGTTCATTCCTTTATTGATCCACAAACCCGGCTGGAACATCACCATGTGCCAGGCCCTGTGTCAGGAGCTGGGGCTGCAGAAGTGCCCTCCAGGGTCCAGTATCCAGCAGGAAACAGGACCTCTCCATTTCCAAATAGGGAGTCCCCCTTTGATCCAGCTCACTCCATGCACCATTTCCCAAGCTCCTCTGCTCAGAGCCTGCACCAAACACGGCCAGGGAGGTCAACATGGCTTATTCCTGCCTCCCTGGGTGGATCCTAGGCTTTGGCTTGACCACCATGTCTGAATCCTGGCTCTAGCCCTGACTGCCCCGGCCCTGAGGCCCGCTCCCTGCTCTGTGAGGTAGGGTAAGGAGGGCCTGCAGGATTAGAGAGAAGGTATGGGAAGGCTTAGCCAGGGCCTGGCTCAACGTGTAGGAGCAAGTATGATGTTTATTTACCCCAGAGGAGCCCAGAGGTCTGCCTGCCAGACCACATGCTGCCTCTGGCCCATCCTTTCGTCAGGAGGTCCCCAGGGAGCACTTTGCTGCCAGCACTGGAGGCCACGGGGAAGGAGACTCAGACAGCATCAGCAATGGTCAGGCCTGAGCGATCAGCTTACCTATGGGGCTTGACTGGCAGGAACGGAAAGATGGGGTGCTCTTGCTAAACAGCTACTGTGTGTTTGAGATAGGGCACTAAATGAATGCTGCTGGTGGGGGACATGTATGCCAGGAGCCTCACAAACAGCACCTGGCTGTGCCCACTCAGCCTCCAGGGACACCTGTGAGTCTCCTCATCTGATGGAGGAGGACACTGAAGCTCAGAGGGTGTAAGCCACTGTCCTGGGCTGAGCTACTCCACAAGAAGACCCTGTGACAAACACTGGAGGGGGAGTAGTTCATGTGGGCAGTGATCCCAGGGAACTCGGGTGGGGGAGAGCAGAGTGAGACAGAGATGAGAAGAAGCCAGTTCAGGGAGTGTTACTGAGCAGATTTGACCCCCAAGGAAGTCTCTGGGAGATGAGGTAGGCCACTCCCTGAGCTGTTCCATTGAGGGGCGAAAAAGCAGAATGTTTGTCCACCAACTGCCAGCTGGCCCCTGGTATAGGCTGCTGGAGGATGTCATCCCAGGAATTGTTGACCTACCTGTGAATGGCCTGCAAGTTCTGGGGTTGCAGGCAGGAGCTGTCTGCGTGCCTGAGGCTGGGACAGCCCTGGGATGTGGGCAGGATGAGGCGAGACCCACCAGCAGTGCCGAGACACCCCCAACCCAGTGCCTGGGACATGTTCATCACACCCCGGAACCACTGTCTCTCACCTTTCTTCTGGTACAACACCCGCTTCTCTTTGGCTTCAATTCCAGGATTGGGGCACCCAGCTTCCCTTTGCAGGACACCTGCTACACGAGGGCAGCCGGCCAGTCCCCCCGTGCCCAGACTGCTCAGCACCGCGCTGTCAGTACCGGCGTCCAGGCACGGCCTCTAGCTTGTCTAGGACCTCAGTTACCCCAACCCCAGTCTCTCCATAATTTCCTGGGTGTCTCTCTTTTGACTCTCTGCAGATGTCATCCCAGATGGGCACTGGTCTTCCCAAGACAGCACACCCCCACCCACATGCAGATGACCTCATCCCTTCTGGGGAGCAAAGGTAAGAAACCCCATAAAGCAGAAATGCCTTCCGCTTACAGCTCTCACCTTGTCTCTAAGTGCACATGCACCCCTTCCCTCTAGGATGCGGGGAAAGTTGTCCACCTCCTGTCCAAGGCCAACCCCTCTACCTGTGCCGGGAGCCCACTGCGCCCACTGGCCTGGGGCCTGCTGCCTTCCTCTCTCCGGATCCTCAGCTGCTCCTGCCTGGCTGGCTTCCTCCCGCCCACATCAGCACACACAAGTCTCCCCGCTGTGGGGGTGACTAACACTTTCCACCCACCTGTGTTTCCCTCCGGCTCCCACCCTAGTCTTTGGCTGGCTTTCACAGTCAAGCTTCTAGAAAGCAGGTTTACACTTCTCATCTTCATACTCTCCCCTCCCCGCCTTTCTCCGAGGTCTCGGGGCTGTTGTCCCTCCACGACAAACTGTGTCCTGGTCACCAACAACGTTCTGGTCACTGAATCTTACCAGTGTCCCCTCTTTCTCATAAATAAACCACATGCCTTGAAATGCTTGTCTCAATTCAGCTTCTGGGGGAGCCCAAACTAAGGCACATGCCCAACCAGACCTCACAGGCGAAGATGAGCCCGTTACCAGTAAGCGCTAAGACGAGGTGTGCTGCAGCCACGAGGAAGCCAGGATTGGGAGAGCAAAGGCCAAGGCTGCAGGGCTGGCGACCAGTGGTAACCACCACAGTGCCTCTCAGACCCTCAAGGTCAACAGTCCCCAAACTGAGCCCCTCACCCCCAAACTTGCTTCTCCTCCTCTGGTGTTTCCTATTAAATGTGACTCCCCTAGCCAAATAAGACATCAGTGTAAAAAAATAGTAACAGTACAAAACGCAACAAAGCAAAAATGGACAATTATAAATGAGAGACACCCTGCAGGGGAGGAGGAGGGAGAGGGATCAGAGGGAGGCAGGGAGGAGCACAGGGGACTGAGGTGATAGGGCACGGGTGCATTGGGGAAGGAAACTCTATGGGGACTACACCTGAGGGGGTGGGGGGAAGCAAATATTGTTTAAAAATGAACAATGATGCAATTGTATGGGGAATATAAAAATAAAATTTATGATAAAAAAAAACAAAGGGAGGTGAGAATTGTATGGGGATTATAACCAAGATGAAAATGCATACATTGTGCAAAAATGAAAAATGATGTAAAAATTATATAAAATTAAAAAAATAAAAAAAAGAACAATGATGTAAAAAAAATTTTAAAAATTAATATTATAGCACCAGAAAAAAAATGTGACTCCCCTTCCCCCCCCAACCCACTCACCCATGGGTCAAACTTGAGCTTGGCCACCAGTTTTGCTTCTGAGATATCACTACATGCACCCGCCATCTCTTCCTGCATATTCGCAGCATCTCCTCATGGCCTATGTTTCTCTGCTCTTGCCTGCTCCCTGCCTGCCCCAAACCACAATCTACTCCAACCTTTCTGAAAGGCACTCTGACCATGGCATCCTTCCTCTAAGGCTAATCCAGTCTGCGTGGCATTCACATCTCTTCAGGACCCCCCAAGTCTCAGACTTTCTCCCCATCTTGAGCTGTACCCACCAGGTACAGTTGCATCCTGAGCCTGGACTGCACTTTGCATCCTATCTTCCCTTGACAGACTTATCCTTCCAAGCACTGCCCCCTCCTCTGGGGAGATGTCTTAACCCTCATCCCTAAGCTGGGAGAGTGCCCTCCTTGCAAGGCACCCTTGGCTCTGGCTGACTATTTTTCTGTGAATGCCCTGTGTCTTCGTAGGCTTCCATCCCAGTGCCCAGAGCACACACCCCCATCCCACTGCCCCCCTCAGCACGTCCTAAGGGCACAGCAGTGCTTCTGCCTCACACTGCTCAGGGACACGCAGCCAGGGAGCATCAGCTGTGCCAACACCCAGGTGGAACCCTGAGGATCCACCTTCAAACTCCCAGGGGTGTCTCCCAGAGGGATGGCCTCCTCTCCACAGCTGATGCTGTAGCACCCCACAGCTGGCAGCCCAGGGACTGTCCCTGACACTGTGATTCCTGGGGTGGGGGGTGGGGGGGCTGTGCGTGAGTATGTGTGCCCTGTGCATATTCATCCATCTCACTGAGCCCACAAGTGGCTGTGTCCAAAGCCTGCACTTTTAGCCCTGCCCCATGGGGCAGCACAGTGGGTAAGCATGAGGCTCCTAGAGCTAAGACCACAGGGGTGCAAATCCTAACTCTGGCAGTTACTAGCTGTGTGACTGTGGCCATGTCACTCTCCCCTGGGGCCTCCAGTCCCTCACCTGTGACATGGGAATGGCTTCTACCTGCTGTGCTTTGTGAGGGTAAGTAGGTTGAACGTGTGGTGTGCATAGAAGAGCGCCAACTTGTAGTAAGCTGGGACTCGTGTCTTGCGTGTTTTCCCTTAGCCTGCGTTCCTTTTGAGTGAACTCCAAAGGGCTTCTTGCGTGTTTCTGTTTAATCCATCTCTCCTTGAAGTCACCTCTGGGTGGGGCCTCCCCTGCCTGGCTGCCCCTCCCTCCAGTCAGCAGCCTGGCCTGGCTTCTCTCCTGTCCCCAGGGGAGGCGGTGGAGAGGAACAAAGGCACCCGCCTGGCAGGGCCATTTGGGAGTGCCTGAGCCACCCACGAGACCAGTCAGCCTCAGTCACTGGGGGCCTTCCAGTGCTCTGTGGTGCTGACGCCCAGGTGGAGCCCAGAGGACCCACCCTCAAGCTCCCCACAGGCATCTTGGCATACAGGTGACCCTTCTTTCCATGGCTGGCTGTGCAGCACCCCAGAGCTAGCAGCCCTGGGGGCTGTCCCTGGCAGGGCACTGTGAGTAAGTCCGGGGGTGGGGATGCTGCCACTCACACCTGCTTCTGTCGTTATTCATAATCGTCTGTTTCTGGGCACTGTGTTATCCCTTGTCATGCTGTTTCTTTGGGTACACGAGCCCATCTCTATGTCTCTGCATTGGGCACTAACTACACCAGTCTCTGTAATGACTGTCATTCCTGAGTGTGAATTTGCCCTTTTACAACTGTGCATTTGAATCTTTCTTTTCCTCTCTCTGCATCTGCGCAAATGGTGTGTCCTCTCTATGTCTATGAAGATTCTTCTGGATACCCAGCTCCCCCTCTGGATTGGACAGGATTTCTGAGGGGATCTGTGTCTAAGTGCAAATGTCAGTGCTGTGTGTGTGCATGACCACCCACCTCCAAGAACGGACTTTTCCAAGTGTACATGTGGATCTTCATGCTTGTACCTCTGTTTCCATGGGGAGATGCAGCACTCTGCTGGGCTACAGACCTCATCTCAGTGTAAAATGATTCCCTCTGGGTGTCGGGCACGCCTAACTCTGAGTGCCCCCAGTTCGGGGGCACTTCTACACTGACCTTCCTCTCTGAGCCAGTTCTGTCTTCATAGCTGCATCCCTCGCTGTACCTGGCACAGGAATGGTGCCCTGGGGATAGCAAGGGTGTAGCATAAAGCCTCCCTTTTCTTCAAAGGTCAGGCTGGAAAACGGGGTGAGGCAGATGGGAGGGAACAGGGAGGTCATGCTGCCCTGGGGATTCATCCATTAACCAGAGCCCTGGGGACTTGGGGGAGCTTCCCATGAGTCTGGGCTGGAGGTAGTGGCATTCAGGGAACACCCTCATTCACTTGTCCCCACATCAGCAGGGGATGGCCCTGCCGGGTGTAAGAGGGTGTGTCACATCCCACACTTCCTCTGCTGGAGCCCGGTAGCAATACATGGGGTCAGCAAAGTGTGAGCAACTTGGTGTGTGTGTGTGTGGGGGGGGGTCTCTATATGAAAGAGGAGGAGGAAATTGGGACTTGTAGAGAGATACAGGTGTGTGTGTGTGTGTGTGTAGGTGAGAGAGAGAGGTCAAAGAGGAAAGTGGGAGGCTGAGAGCAGTAGAGGCAGGAAAAGGACAGTGGAAATAGCCCACGGGGTCTTGCTAGCTTCTCACCCCTGTGCGCCATACACTAGCCCAAGGCTGGGGCGTCCCACGAGTAGGAAGCCACATCCCCTCTCCCCACTTCCCTCTCTGAGTCTCTATTTTTCTCTCACAGTCACCCTGTCCTGTCCCTATTCCTAAGGCTGGGGGCGAAGGCCACATGCTGGAAATGATGTCCCAGAAGACCAAGCGGGCCAAGGACAAGCTTTCCCGAGAGCCTCTGGACAAGGGTGTGACCTTCACAGCCTCCAGCTCCTTGGTCAATGGGAAGAAAGTGAGGAGGGGGGATGTCTGCCATGTGTGGGGCCCACCCAGCTCTGGGCCTGTCCACACCTTACCTCACTGAACCTCCCAACCCTGCAGGAAAGGGGCTGCTGTTCCTGCATTACAGGCCAGAAACGCATGGCATGGGACCTGGGGCCAGTTAGCATGGCCCCTCACAGTCCCAGGACAGGATGTAGCTGGGGATCAGCAGAGAATGGACCTTTTGGGGGAGCTGCTGGCCCCCAACAATGCTAGGTCATTGCTATTGTCCATGCTTTAGTGGCAACAGCAGCAGTTGGGATTAGAGACTCCCTGTACTTGTCTGCTTGCTCCACATCTGATAGGCCGGATAACTTCAAGCTAGCCCTTCCCTTCTCCCCCTGAGACTCAGTGTCCACATGTGTAAAGGGAGGTGACTAATCCTGCTCCATTTCTCTGGGCTGAAGACTAAATGCCAGGTCTGAGAGGCACAGGGTTTCGTAAAGTGTAAAGAGCTGCACTCATGGGTGTCTGTGTGCTTACAGGGGCTGAGGGCTGAAGTGACAACACGAGTGATAGCTAGAGTGACCAGTACCAAGCTGGGCTGAGCACTAGGCAGGTCATTCATTTCAGCTCTGCTCCTTGCTCTGAGTGGGGGCCATCAGCCCCATGTGGAAAGGGGGCAGCAGGGACCGCTGGGCTCACAGTTCCCACAAGGGGCAGCGGCATCAGGATTCAAAGCCAGTATGGAAAGCTGTGAGGCTGGTGCTCTGAGCACTAGGTGGGTTCACCAGGTAAGCCTCACAGAAGGGGTTCCTGGACAAGGACTGGCAAGACCAGAGGAGAGGGGGAGGCTCACAAAGGATGCCTCCTGCATGCCAAGCTCCTCCCCTCCGCTCACCTCCCCTCCTCCTTGACGGCCAATTAGTCCCGCTTCTTTGGCCCAGTCTGGACCTTTAACAAGCCAAGGCACGTTAGAGGAAGTTCGTGGTTACATAAGGGAAAACCGTCCTGGTGTCCTTCCCTGCCTCAGGAGGCTGCTGGAGCAACTGTCCCAGATGACAACCTCTAAGGAGCTAGGAGCTTTACTGCTCTTCCTGTCCTTACTTCTCATCCTGCCCACCACACCCCACCCCTTGCCAACTCCCATCGACTCCTCATTCACACCCAGAGTTCAGGCACTAAGAACAGTGCATCATGGGAGTCCTCCAGGGCACCCTGCCTTGCACTGGATACCAAGTGTACCCATCTTTGGGGAGGAAGAGGTCTGAACTAGGTACAGACGCGTGGAGTGGCAGAGCTGGGGCCAAGAGCTCTGTAGCTTCTTCCCTGACGGCCCTGGTACCTCCTGCCTATGACCTGCCCACACCTGTCCACCTGTGTTCCTCCCGCCCCAGGCCACTAGCCATCCTACTCAGGGGAGCAGTGCTACCTCATCAGGCCTCTCGTCAAGAAGGGGAGCCAGCCGAGCTTCGGAAAGTCCAGATGCAGAAGCTGCCACGCTCAGCTTCCGGGGCCTCCTCGCTGCTCACAGGCTTACCAGGGAGCTCAAGGTAAGAGGGAAGAGCTCTGTGGAGGAGGCAGGGCCTGGAGGGACTTCAGCCCTTCTTTCTACTCATTTTCTGGCTGTGGAAACCAAGGCACAGAGAAGACAGAAGGACAAGTCAGAGCCTCACACTCGTTGAGAGGCCACTACTTTCAGGCAGAATGCCAGGTTCTTTTTTTTTTTCTGTTCTTTTTTTTTTTTTTTTTTGTGGGACCCTTGCTGGCAGCCGGAGAACGAACTGGCGCCGCAGAGGCTGCTGCGAGCAGCTTCACAGCCCAGCGCTCAACCACTGCGCCACCAGGGGAGGCCCAAAATGCCAGGTTCTTTCCTATTTGTTAGAGTTGCACCTGTGACCCCCAGAGAGACTGGAGACACCTCCAAATTCAGGGTCCCTCAGGAACCCATCAGAAAGCCTGCACACTGGCTGGTGTTCAGAAATGTTTGCTGAATACATGAACGAGGAGTTATTTAGTCCGCAGAATAATCTGCTGAGGTAGGAGTTGTTTTGCCATTGAGGAAACCAAGGTTCAGGGAGGAAGGAGTTGACAATAGCATCAAATGCCGCTGAAAACCTCTGGACATGAGGGAGCTTACCTAGAGTGGAGCTTGGAGTGGGAGGACCCTACCAGATTGTAGAGGGCTGAGAGGTGAAGGGAGGTGAGGAAGGAGGCACTTCACGCTATAGGCAGCTCTTAAAGGAAAGGCTAAACATGGAGGGGGGGTGGGGAGGCAGGGAGGAAGGGGAAGCATCTTCTCTGGAATAACGTGGAGGTGAGGTGGGCTATTGCTTTGTTCTGTTAACACGGGGAAGCTTGGACAGGCTTCCAGACTAGCTGAATGGAGCCAATGGAGACATTCGAGAGATTCCCTGAAGTCATTTCCTGGAGGCTCAGGGGCAGCTCCCTGGAAGTGGTCACTGAGCTGGGCACAAAAGCTTACTTCTTGGTAGCAACTCCTGCTGCCCTTAGAGGGGGCAGAGGAAGGGAATTAAAGTACACCCAGGCTCCATTCAAAGCAACCCCGGGAGCATGGAAGTCCCATCTTCATTTCACAGAAGAGCAGTAGCTCCCCCAGTCACGTGACTCCCACGAGCCCATTCATTCATTCCAGGCCCACTCAGCAGTCACAGGCTAGGTGCGGGGTGGGGGTGGGCATGCCACCCAGATTGCCCTCGTGCAGGGACACCACTTCCCCAGCTGCTTTCCTTGAGCATCCATCTCTTTGCCTTAAATGGGGAAACTACTCTAAAGACAATGAGAATTAGGTGAGGTAACTTAGCAGACTGCTGATGTGCACCTCTGTCACCCTGCCCACCCAGAGCATGTGCAGAAAGTTCCTCAGCGCCAGATATCCCTCCACTATCTGCCTGAAGCTTCTCTGGTTGCCAGGGGTTGCGCTCACCCTGGGAGGCCCAGGTGGATAAACGCCCACTAGTTCAGAAGCCCATTCTATAGTCTGTGGCGGGACCCCAGTAGCCGTGCTCCAGCAGCCCCTGGGGTAACTCCTTTGTTGCCTTTCTTCCCCCACTGCCTCACCATGATTTCCTAAATCACCTCCTCGATAAACATCTTGCACCCAAATCCCTGTTCAGAGTCTGTTTGGGGGCAAATCCAGCTGGAAACAAATAACTAAAACCTGACACTCAGAGGTCGTTCAGTAGATGTTCACTTCCATGTTCATTTTCACTCTTACAGAATCGGACATCTTCAAGAAAACAACTGCAGCTACAGCTGAACCACCACCGACCCACCAGCATCATCCAGGAGCAGGTACAGGCCAGTGGTGGGGGTGCAGAGGGAGAAGAGTCGAGGCCTAAGGCAGGCACTGTAAGCAGAGCCACTTGGAAACCTGGTCAATCTGCCCCCCACCAGACGGTTATGAAGTTATTTTCTCCTACCCCAGGTTCTGCACTCTGTGCTCCATTCCATTGCTTCCATTCCAGATCGGTTATTCCTACTCAGGGTTCTGTGTTCGACATATTCAAGCCCAAGCCCGTGCTCATTGTTGCAATCCCACCCCCAGCCCCACCCCACTCCTACCATCACCTCCCTCGTCTCCTCCTTCCAGGTTCCCCTGTGGTCAGCCAGGCCAGAGATGAAGTTCCCATACATCCAGGCAGAGGAGCTGATGCAGGCCCACCTGCCCTCCAAGCTGGCTGGCGTGGCCTACCATCCAGCCCAGTGTGCCCACCTGGCCATGGTGCTGAGTGGTGAGATCCGGGACCTGGTCAAGGCTGTCACCCCACCCCGCTACAGGCTAGTGTGCTCTGTCAGCATTGGGAGCAAGGGGCAGGACGGTGTGGTAGTTTCCAGCCAGAGCCTGTGGGACCCACATGCAGACAGCTTTGCCACCTCCCACTATGCAAACCCCACACTCTTCTGTGTGGCGCTGGTGCACGCCATCTATCTGGAGTGAGCCCACTGGGGGAGGGCCTACGCCTGCACAGGGCCCTGTACTGCAGGCTCACAGTGAAAATGCTGGCCTGTCAGCAGGCAACTCAGGAAGCAGCACCCACCTGGGCCAGGCCGGCAGCTTCCACAACTCATGGTCAATTAAAGGAAGAAAATGAGGAAGACCGGGTCCACGCTCACCCTCCTCAGGCCACCAGACCACACATGCTGCTGAGCTCCTTTGCCTCTGGCTGGAATTATGTCCACCACGTGCAGCTCCAGCTGGCTTTACAGATCAGAAGCTCTGAGGGGCAGTCTTTGATTAATAAAAAATGGGAGCTAAATTAATAATAACTTAATACATGCAATTTGGGATCAAAATCTTCCAAAGCATGGGGAAAATAAGAAAAAGGGGAATTCTTGATAGTGAAAAGCTTGGGACTCAGAGCTGTCCTAGAGACTGGCCATGAGTCAGATGTGGCTGGGGAGGGCCTGGTTGTTTACCTGTGCCAGGTGCCGCGCTTGGGCACTAAACACGCTGCCTTCATCCTCACGCAGCCCCAGGTGACGATGCTCCTATCCCCGTTTTGTAGCCAAGTAAGGCCCCAAGAAGCCAAGTTACCTGCTACCTAGATCTGCCTCACTTAAAAAGAAAAACAAAATAAAACATAAAAAAGGAGCCCCAAACTGGGAAGTGTGGGGGAAGGCACTGTGGTTGGAGTTTATGAGGAAAAGAGAGGGACCCGCAGAGGGCACAGCAGAAGCTGTGAACGCTGGCGTTGTTTACACTACTCACTGTCTAGACCGGGCAGCGGGCGCTCACAAACAGCTGCAAAGACTGACAAGCTCATTGGCAAAAAAGGGCACAGCCAAACCTGAGGTGGGGAAGAGGGGATGGATGTTTTTATATCTAGCTTCTGAAGTACATGGAGCAGGCATATTTAACCATGTTTTTTCAATTATGGCATTATTTCAAACACAGAAAAAGGTAGAAACTACTAAAGCAGACATCAGTGAACCCATCACCCCGATTCACCAGGTGTTATTTGCCATATTTGTTCCAAATATTTTTATAATAAAGAGATACAGATAAAAGCTCCCTCTATCCCCCAGCCCACCCCATTCCTCTGTCCTCAGAGGTCACCACTGTCCTTGAAGTTGGAGGATGTCTGTGCTGAGCATTTAGCATTATTTTGTGTTTCTGAATGTTCTAAATGTTGATACCTCAGCACAACCTTTCCTTTTCCCATCTGGTTTTTACCCCAGCACTGTGCTTGCAAGACTTAGCCTGTGTTGGTACATGGAGGGACAGTCATTCATTTTAACTGTGGGTCTATCTACACAGTAGTTTATTCCTCCATTCTCCTGTTGATGGACGTGGGTAGTTTGTAGTTTTGACCATTTCGAACACTGTAGCAGTGAAAATCTTTATCCACATCTCCCTGTGCACTCATATGTCACATACAACCTTGACAACAGTTGCAGCACGTTGGAATTTATGCACCCCCTCACCCCCCCGCCATGACCTTAGAGAACTATTTAATGTCGTGGAAGCTTAGTTTCCTCATCAGTAAATTGGAGTTAAAAAAAAATTATATGCATTTGGCTGTTTTCATGTAGATGAAAAGCATCTTGCAAACTGTAAAAGACTACGTGAATATTAGCTGTTTCTTACTGGATTCTCGGGATGTTCTGAACCACTCCCACGCCAGGCACACAACCAACAGGCCCCAGCAGGGGCTGTGGTGCAGCGACAGTACAACGCACAGCAATCTGCTCACCTCCCCCCACGCCAGCCTGAGAGGCAGAGGTAGGCAAGGCTCCCCAGAGGAAGTGACACTGAGCTCAGCCCTCAAAGGCCAGTGGAGACAGAGGGTGGGAGGGAGGCCTGGGCAGAGGGAGTGACTGGTGTGAAGGAACTGACTGGCACCAGAGGGCACGGCTGGAACAGAAGAGTTCAGGACAAGGTAGTGACATAGATAAACCTGGAGAGGAGGCAGAGCCGAGACGCCATATCCTGAGGGCAACAGGGAGCCACTGCGAGTTTCAAGCAAGGGAGTAGCGGGTTCAGATCTGCATGTTAGAAAAAATGGTCTGAGGGCCTCCCCAGTGGCGCAGCGGTTGAGCGCTGGGTTGCAAAGCTGCCTGCAGCCTCTGCAGTGCCAGTTCGATCCCCGGCTGCTCCCCGGCCACCAGAGGAGGGTCCCACATGGTGTGCAGACCTCTCCTGCCACCCGCTGCTCCCCTCAGCAGTGTACTTCGGTCCTTCTGCCTGCTCTGCTCCCCGCTCTGGCTCTGGTGAATTCTCTCACCCTCCCGCGCTTCTGACTGTACCCAGTGCTTGTATAAATAAATGAATAAATAAAATAAAATAAAACTAAAAAAAGAAAAAATGGTCTGAATGAGCTCTGGAGATTGGCTGCCCAACACTGTCCCCACAAGCAACAGCACTGTATTACACACCAAAACATTTGTTAAGAGGGTAGCTCTCACGTTCATTGTTCTTCACAACTAAAAAATTCGGTCTGACCACAGTGTGGAGAGGGGGAGCATGGGGAGAAGTGGAAGTGGGGAGACCAAGGCGGGGAATGTGGAGGTGGCGCCTGTCAAGGTGGCGTGGATGCTGCAGGGGAGCTACCAGCAGAGCGGGAGGAAGGGCAGCTGATGGGAACCTCACCCCCAGATGAGATGGCTCTCCTCACTCATCTCAACCAGCCCTGTTCCGGGGCTCACTTATCTTTCAGCTCTTATCTCTGGATGATGTGAGCCCTTCTGGCATTTGGGCACCAAAAATATGGCTGGGTGCTCACCCATGAGTCCTGCGTAGACTCCACCAGCATCCAGACTGCACAGATCCCAGGGGAGGGCTGCAGGCTATCACTGGGTGGTCCTGTATGATATCTAACCATCAGATATCTAAAGCGGGACAGAGACAGGCATACATAACAGCCTCCGACCCGCCACCCCTAACTAAGAATGAGCAGAAACCCCCATCCTTAGTGCCACTCCCACCTTCCCCTGCGGCCCCTCCCATCCCTGCCAGACTAGGCCAGAACCTTTACCCTGCCCTCTCCTGACTTCACTTTTCACAACACCTGTCCCTTTCAGAGCTATAAGTTTAATGTCTGTCCTCCTGGTTGGGCTGTCAGCTCCCCAGAGGAGGCTACCCTACCAGGGCTGCATCTGCCTGCTCACTCATGCTTCCTTGGTGCCTATGACAGTCTGGCTTCAAAGGAAGTCCGGGAGCGTTTCTGAGTAGAATCAAGAGGACACACCAACTGACAGAGAGGGAAGGGTAAGGAGTATCCCAGATTTCAGAAGCCCTGAGAGAGGAAAAGGGTCTTGCCAGAGCCACCAGTAGGAGACCAAAGACCCTCTTGTATCTCTGACTTTCAGCGAGGCCTTCCTGCTCATTCCATTATGCTGCACAGAAGCCAAGAGACCAGTGTTTCCCAAAGTGTATTCCATGTAATCTGGTCTCAAGAGAGTCTAGAGGATGAACATGTTCTACAGTTAAATAAGTTGGGAAACTCGGGGTTTAATAAAATGAAGAAAGTCTGTTTACCACTGGAATGTTCAGAGTCCTTCACGTGTTCATGCGCATCTGATTCTTGGCAAAGATCACATACAGAATCCCCCACGTTTATTTGACCATGGAATTCTACCTCTGAAATGGTTTGAAATCTTTGGCCCTGTCCCCCAACTCCCAGTCATTATTATTTATTGAACATGCACTGCACAGAAATTTGTTGCAACTTTTAGGGTATTGCAGGGAACTCCTTTTTCACAAGTGAAAATAACTTCAATATATAAATGGGATAAAAATAGAACTGGTCTGGTTGAAGAGGAGCCTGTATACTCCATCTGGCCCTTGCATCACTGTTGCCATGCAAGGAACCCAGGGTCCTGTGGAGCCCAGTTCACTAGACCCTGATACAGAACTCTGAGCACAGGGTTGAAAACAGACCGGGCTTCTCGTGCCGGCCCGCCATGCAATGTGAAGCTAAGTGGGTAGCACACTGAGCTTACTTGGCCTTGCTTTTCCAGTTTATACAATGTGCTGGTTAGGCTGGATGCTTTTTGGAGTCCTGGATTTTAACCTCTGATATGTTGAGGACTGTGATTCTATGACTGTAAAATCTGAACTCTCCCATTCAATGGTTCTTGGATTCTGAGATTCCATGGTTAATATTCTGATTCTGGGACTGCCTGTAGTCAGCCTGAGCTGGTGCAGCACACCGGAGCTCAGGCTGCGAAAAGCAGAATTCATTAACTGCAGCATGCTGCCCAGGAGCGCTGGGTTCCCTGGAGAGGGCATGCCCCATGCAGGATGGAGGGGCGGGGTGGGAGGGGAGTGGTGGGTGGATGGGAATCAGCAGCCATTCAGTGGGCAGAGCAGGGAGAAGGACCCAGGTCTCCTGACTCCTGCTCTATCTTTAGATCTCCATAGCAACCGTCACCAGGGCGCCTGAGCTGAAGGCTGACTTGGCTGTGTGCAGGAAGGAGGGGCTATTGCTTGCTTTCCTGCCTCTTCTGCTGGGGAAAGGACTCTGGGCTGGGATCTTGGGCCAGGGAATGGAGACTGAAGCTGTTTGCCGCAGGAAAGGCCTGGGCCAACACAAAACAAAGGTACTCCAGGGCCCCACCTCCCTCTGAGGATGTGGTCAGGTCACAGGACCAAGTCCTTCACTGTGTCAGGCTCAGGGAACTTTCTTCTTTCAAATTCCTCCTTCAGAGGGTTCTCAGTCTCCCTCGTGGTCATCGCCTAAACACGTAGCAAGCACCTAACTTGAGCCATCACTGAGGCCCCGGCACAGACACAGTATCCATGAAATCAGGCTTTGAAACAGGCATTACCAGGCACGGTCCAACAGGAGCCCCTCCAAGCCCTCTAAACTGAGGGGTCCAGGGAAAGCCTGTGTCCCTTCTCCTGCCAATCCCTACTCACCCTGAGGCTCAGTGTGCACCTGGCTCCTTCCAGGGAGTCTCCTCCCCAGGGTCCTGTAGCCCCATCCTTCCTCCACACAGCAAGATGCCTGCCTGAGGGAGTCAGAAATGAGCTGGGGTAGATGAGAAACAGGGAGGCACTGGCTCAGAGGTAAAGACATTGGCCCAAGGTCACCTGGTAAGCGAGCACCAGGGCCAGGCCTCTTCACATCTTCTGACTCTAGTCAGTGCTCCTTCCTGTGTCCCGTAGGCTGGGCCCTGATCTGGGTTTAGGAAGGCAGGTCAAGACTAGAAGAGGAAATAGGAGTCCTCCGCCAGGCCCACATGCAGCAAGCACCTGGCCATGTCCTTGGTAAATTCGGCCGAGCCACAGACCAATGCATAGGGTTTTCTCCGACAGGAGCCCACAAGCTCTTCCACCAGGTCCTGGGTCAGGCGGCCAAAGCGGGTCTTCTCCCTGTAACTCCAGGGAAGCTGCTCCGGGGAGTTCTCCTGGGATGATGAGAAACAGTAGGAGTAAATGCTGGGAGATTCTCAGAGCCACACAGCCATTCTCTGCCAAACAAGGAAACTGAGGCAGAAGGGTTGTTGTGGTTGCTGCTCAGGTGGGGCAGGGCACTGTAAGCAATGATGGAGAGTGGGGTGGGCACAAGCTGTGATAGCGCAAACATCCACGCCAGCCTGGGGGCTCTGGGAAAGCTACCAGGATGGAATTACATCTCAGCAGTGATGTCAGGGAGGGATTGGTATGAGGCAAGCAAGTGGGGAAGAAGTGTTCATGGCAGGGGAGCTGCATGAACACAGACCCAGAGGCCAGGACAGCACAGTGTTCTTGCAGCCCTGAGCAAACCAGTGATGCCAGCACACAGTACACAGTGGGTGGGCCAGAGCACAAGGCTGTAGAGGTTGTCGTGTCCATGCAGGCTTGGACATTTTCCTGAGAGCAAAGGGGAGCAGAGAAAGGCTGGAGGTCGGGCAGTGGTGCGACAGAGTTGCCCTTGGGGGTGCAGGATCAACAACAAATTGGTAGGGTATAATTGGAGCAGAGAGACCCTGGAGGATGCCATTACTGTAGCCCAGGCAGGAAAGGGAGCAACCTGAGTCCAGGGGACATGGATGGGCAGTAGGCACCTCCCAGGCCACCTATCCCTGCTGTTGACAGCCAGCTCACTCACCTGTCCCCTGAAAGGCCACCAGCATCATTGAATCCAGGTCCGAGGTTGAAAGACCCCATATTGTTGGGGAAATTTAACTCAGCCCTCGAACCCAACAAACTGGCCATCTCCTCCATGAAGCCCTCCTTGTTGCCCCCAGCATTCCAAACACCCTCCACAAGTACCTATCCCTATAATGTGCCCCAGAGCATAGCCTACAAGGCAGGACCACCAGGTTCATACCTCCCTCTCTACCCATCACTCTGTGCCTCAGTTTCCACATCAGTAAAATGGGACTGATGGCAGCACAAGCCTCCTAAAATTATAGTGGGGATTAAATAATACACCTAACGTGTTTAGTTTAGAGTGCCAGGCACAGAGAAAAGTTCAATAAAAGGGAGCTGCTCTCAACCATTCCTGTGGTTGTCTCCCACATACAGGTGAACACCTGGAGGGCAGGGAACAGGTAGTCTTCACTTTCGTGAAGACGGCAGATGGCGAAGGGTGGAGGGAAGGAAGGCTGGCCAACAGCTGGTGACTCTGCCAGGTGCCTGCCCTTCTGCCACACTCCTTGACCAGGCTGGGCTGACAGCGCCACCTGGCAGCAGGGCCCTCCCCTCACGCCGCCCCCTTGGGCTGCGCACTAGCCTCTGCTTCTTCCCTTGGCCGTGGACACCACCGCTACTGATGTTCACCCAGCACGATCCTCTCCCGATGCTTGTGCCACGGAGAGTTCTGCCCCACAGACAGGCCCATGCACCCCGGTCCCTGGATGATGCCACTCAGTATTGGGCAGGGAAACCCATTTCCTGATACTCCCCACTCCACCCAGCCTCCAAGCCAAGGACCCCACAGTTTTTTAGGGACACTCTAAAGCTGCCTCAAAGAAGAACCAATGAGAAGGGAGCTCCAGAGTACTGGGCAATGAGGTTGATCTGAGCTACAGAGAAAAAGGCGGGGGAGGCCCCAGGTGTGGACCCCAACCTAGGGGGTGCAGGAAAGAGACACAAAGCCACAGACTAGGGGAATGTAGTTGTGAACAAAGACAGCTGAGGACTTGACTTGAGCTAAGCGGGCAAGATGGTCCCTGACTCTTCTTCCAGAGGGAAAGGTCCAGGAAGGGTCGCCTGAGTGATTGGAGGGCTTGAGGGCAGAGCTACCTCCAATTAGAATATCCTTTCCTCCATGCAAGAACACACCGTTGTATTGTTGGCAGCCTAATAAATGAACTAGGACCCAGCTTGCTCCAGCACTATGCTAAGCTCTAAGAATGTCGTGATCCAGACATGTGGCCGCTGCCTCCCAGAGCATATCATGCCTAGAAGACATGCATCATCTGCCCGCTGGCTCCAGCATAGGACCCCAGTCCACACAACCAAGAATGCTGGAGGGCGCATGGCAAGCAGCGGAGCTTTGTGGGTAAACTGGAGCTCTGGAATCACACAGCCCTAGCAGGGATCAGGGCCTGGCTTCACCCCATCCAGCTGCATGACATGGGCAGGCACGCTCAACTGAGCATTAGCGTCCTCATCGGTGTAACAAACACAACAGACTTGCTTTTCCGGCCAGGCATGCGGTGGGGCTTCACTAGTGGCGGTCACTGTGGCAGAACCAGACTGGGACATCACAGCAGCTCCTTGGGACACATGCAAGGGGTCACAGAGTCTCAACCAGGGAATCAAATCACCACCCTGGGCTTACCTGGCTGAGTACAAAGAAGGTGCGGACATTCCAGAAACGGGCCTGCTCCTGGAGGAAGGTTTTCAGGTAGATACTTTCAAAGGTCTTGAAGCAGCTGACCAGGGTGACAAAAGTCTCATCATCCGCATTGTCTGTGATGCTTTGCAGGATGGACACCATAGGGGCCAGCCCAGTCCCTGCTGCCAGCATGAGGAGCTCCCCATACTGGGGAAGAGGAGAGAGGGATGCCCAGGGTGGGTTGGGGTGAGGGTCTCATTACACCCACCCACTAGAGAGCCGTTTCTCGGCCTCACTTGAACTGCCCTACCTGAGTGTCCCATTCATTCGAGTTCCCCTTTCTACCTCCTCCAGGAATCTACCCTTGCTTCTAAAAGACTATAGTGTGATAGAACATGGAAATCTGGGGGCTACAAGGGAACATAATGATGCAGCCCATCCTACAAGAGGCTTGCTTGCCTCCTAAAACATTCCATAGGACTCTCTTTACATACTTCTGCTGACTGGGAGCCCACCACCTTCCGAGTCAGTCTGCTCTACTGCAGGCTGACTCCCCTTGACAGGAAGGTCTTCCCACTCATGCCAAGGTGATACTTGCTCCTACTAAGGACTTCCCCACCGTTTCCATCCCAGGCCTGCCCCCAGAGCTGCTGCTTCTCCCCTAGGGAAGCCCTGTGGACACAGAGGATACCATCAGCAGGTTCCACCCAGAAAACAAGGTCAAGACCACATTTATCTGGTCCCCTCCAGGGTGGGAGGGAATAGGGACAATTTCTAGTCCCTGCTTTCAAGAGCCTGGGGATACTGGGATACCCCTGGGTAAAGCATAAAGCTGAGCATGGTTAGCACTAGGAGAAGATTGTAAAAAAGTATTATTATATGTACACCCACATATCTGTAAAATGGGGGCAGCAGAACATAAAAGCTGTTGTAAGGACTGAATGTGTTAGCACACGACAAGTACTGGAATCAGAGCCTGGTATACATGCAGTACAACATGCGGATCTGACATTATCATACGCATGTAAGGGTGTGTGTGTGTATATGTCCATTTGTGGACGAGGATGTGGAGGGACACATGCTGAAATAGTAAGGCTGATATGTCTGGGTGATGGCCTACAGGTGTTCTTTATTTTCTTCTTCTTGCCTCCCTGTATCTGATGATTTTTTTTGGTAATGAACACGTACTGCATTTGTAATAAGGAAAAAACCAATAAAAGCTATTTTTAAATTAAACAAAAAAAAAAGAATAGAGAAGAAGGAATGATTCATTCTTTTCTATTTGCTTTTGCTTGGCTTGGCTTTCCTAATTATAAAGGTAATAGGTGTTCATTGTGGATAATTTGGAAAGTATAATGAAGAAAATAAAAATCACCCATAATTCTACCACCCAGAGCTGCTAACATTTCATTGCATTTTCTTTTCATATTTTTCCTATGCATTTTAATTTCTCTTCCCAATCTGTTGTATATTCATTTTGTACCTAGCACTTGTCACTTGATCTTATAAGAATATAACACCATTTATAAACATAATTCTAAAATGCAGAATAATATTCTATCAAGTCTCTGTAACTCGATACACTGAACTATTCCCCTGTTGTTGGGTATTCACACATCTCCAATTACCTGCTCCTGAGCAGCAAGTCAGGGGTAGCTTTAGGGAGTGGTTTCTATAGCCCTGTGACTGGAACGTGAAACTGTAAAGAAATTTGAGGGGCTGATGGGATGGGGTCCTAAACACTAAGTACTTGGGTCTGGGTTTCCCTAAGCAATGGGCAGCCACAGATACCTCTGAAGCACGGGCGGACAGTTCTGTTTTCTAGTGCCTGTTTCATCTCTTCCCATGCCCACCCCCAGTGGTGGTCTTAGGATCCGGTTTCAGCTCAGGGAGAATGGCAGAGTGAGACCTGTGTGTTGCAACCTGAAACTATAATCCTGAAGTCTGAGCTGCAGGGGTCTCTGAAGACTTAGTGTGCTGGCACTAACCTGGTTTGGTTTATAGACAAAGCCTCCAAAGGGTCCCCTCCAGAAAGCCGTGTCTCCTGCTTTCCAGGACTCGATGTAGCGGGACATCAGCCCAGTCTGGTAGCACTGGGAACAAAGAGAGGAGACCTTATTGGGACAGGCACATGCTGCTAATACAAACTGCAACAGACATTAATGGGAGCCCTTCCTGCATGCTAAGTACTTTATATGTGTCATGTCATTTAATCCTCCTGATCACCCCATGAAATTGGTACTGTCAATTTCAGATGAAGTTGATGAAGTCAAGAAGTTTACACAGAAGGAAACTGGAGACTGGGATGAGGATCTACAAACTTAACTACACAGGTCTCAAGCCCAGATAACTACAGGGACCATGCAGGCAACGTCATTGAGTGAAGAACTGGGTATGAGACAATTAACGGCCATTAACACTCTTGTCTCAGTGTCAGGGAGACAAGAGGGAGTGGTGTGGATTGTGGTAACTTGGTGAGTAAATACTCTTATCTCAAGGAGGAAACCACTTTGCAGATTCTAGTACAGATCACTGTAGTACAGATCATTTTGCAGATCATTGTGTGTGTCAGCCAATGATGCCAGGCCTTTTGATTTTCCAAGAGGGGCAAAACATCCATATGTAAAATCCCCCATTTTTGAAAAGCTAACAATTAATTCAACTTTTTAAAACACTGTGCAGGCCAAAACCAAATATATTTATAGGACAGAATTAGTTTTTAGGCCAATCATTTGCCATCTTTGCATTATCCTACACTATCTCCTGACTGGATAAAATAAATGAAGGTTGTAAAAGGGATTCCTCCATGGGGAAAGGGCAGTTTACATTTCCTGGGGGCCTTCCCACTCTGTGCCAGCTGCCATGCTGGAGCTGCAGGGGAGACAGCTGGAACTTAAATTCCATGAATGCAGCTGATGCCTAAACCAGTGCTTGATTAATATCTGAATGAATGAATTAGTCAATTAAACTAGAGCTCCCCTTAAGGAGCTCACAATCTTGGAGGGATCTAAATCTCAGATATATACAAAGTAGAAACTCTCACTACATGAGAAGAACAAAGTGCTAGGAAATCCCTGAGAAGATACTACTTCTATGTATCAGTATCAAGGACAGCTTCCTGGAGGAGGAAGCGTTTGAGCTAGACCTTGAAGGATGGGCAAGATTGTTCACTGGGGATGGGAGTAGAAGGACAGAGAGAATTCTGGGCATCAGATGAGGTGTGGTAAGAGGTAAGATAGTCTAGCTCATGTCCTGGGGAGAGCATAGTAGAATGAGGTGAGGGGGGAAGTAGTAGGAGACAGGAGGGCTAGGTGTTTGGAGAGAGATTATAACCAGGCTTGAAGGAGAAACTGAGCTTTGATCACCAGACATGCTTTAAGCACCCACAGCTACCCTGGTTCCTCCCTGACTTCTTAGGGCACCATATGCATAAAGCAAGGAAGGTGCCTCTCACTGTACCATTTTTCTCCTAACTTGCTGGAGGTTGTAACTCAGAACACACCTTGTTTTCTCACTCCAGTCTTAGGAGAGGCACAGCCCCAGCTATGGTCACAGAGACTTATGGCAGATAGCACTCAAGGAGAAGAAAAAGATTTCTCTGGGTCTCCAGAACCTACACAAAGCCTGGCTCAATACCCATTTGTTAAATATAACTGACAATGAACTTGTTTTTCCACTTGGGATCATATCACCCAAAGGGCCTTGGGACAACAGGATGATCTCTCTGAGCTTCAGTTTCTTCATCTGTAAAATGGGGATAATATGACCTACTCTGTGGGATGGTTGTGAGGCCGAACTAAGGCAGTGAAAAGAAAGAGCCAGAGCAGTGCCTGGTGCCCAGAAGTGCGAACAAAATGGGAGTTCCTCCTTCCCAGCTACATGGTAGGATGAATGTAAAAAAATCCATCTGCCTTCCCAATTTGCGAAGACGTTTCCAGCTCTTCCTAGCCAGCGGCTTAGGGATAATTAAGCATCTCTCCAAAGAGAGGCTTTCTGGTAAACGAAGGAGAAAATCAGCCTTGCAGCTGGGAGGGATCCAGCTGCCCTGAAGAACTGTCTCCAGGCTTATCCTTTCAACAGAAACACACCCAGACAAGCAGCTTGGGGAAGCAGGTCATTTGGAGAGGATTTGTGGAATCTCCCAGACAAACAGTTGCGTGGAGAAGGGATCCCATCCAAGCTTATGTGTGAGGGAATAAACAGTCAGGCTGTGAAGCCGGGCAGGGAAGGCGGGAGCCAGAGACGACACGGAGGTCTTGGAGTCAGGGCGTCAGGGCTCACTCATGAGCGGCACTTCTTACTACCTGTGGAGCTGGGGGTCTCTTGGGGCCTCAGCTTACTTGTCAACGAAATGGGGACAAGAATTCCTGTCTGGGGCCTCCCCGGTGGCGCAGCGGTTGAGCGCTGGGTTGCGAAGCTGCCGGCGACCTCTGCAGCGCAGCAGTTCGTTCCCCGGCTGCTCCCCGGCCACCGGAGGAGGGTCCACATGGCGCGCAGACCTCTCCTGCCGCCCGCTGCTCCCCTCAGCAGTGTATTTCGGTCCTTCTGCCTGCTCTGCTCCCCGCTCTGGCTCTGGTGAATTCTCTCGCCCTCCCGCGCTTCTGACTGTACCCAGTGCACGTATAAACAAAACAAACAAACAAACAAACAAATAAATAAATAAATAAATAAAAACATGCCTCTATAAATAAAAAAAAAAAAATGTGTTTAAAAAAAAAAAAAAAAGAATTCCTGTCTGAAAAGGGGATAAATGACCGAAAGCTATTCTTACATACTGACATTCCCTAGGATTCCTGTTTGGGAAATCATGATGTAGAACTCTGTATTAGATTGATGCATATGAAGCTGCTATTTCTGTAAGACAAAAACGTTAGTGCATCAGCAGTTTCGTTGAGCTCAACCTTATAACTGTTTTCCACACAACTGGACCTTCATGACTTCCAACGCATGTGTTATCCATCCCTTGGGTCTTTGGGGTGTTAGCTCCCTGTGTTCATTTCATCTCTGCCACTTTCCCACCCACCTCAGTTGCCCCATCAAGCACCTGTTCTTTGCCACTTACACAGGGTACAGCTCTGACCGGCTATCTGCCCCTCAGGCCGGAATGCCACGTCCTCAAAGTCTAGATCGAATGCTCTAGCCTCCCGCCCATCTCCCTGTGAGGTGATCTCAGGTTAGTTAGGTCCATAAGGTCCTTCTCGTCTCCTACCTTCTGCCTGCAAATTCCCTTCTATTCCAGGACAAATGACAAGCAGTCCCCCAAATCATGCCTCTGCACTGCTGTATGTGTTGTCCCAGCACTCGGGTTTCTTCTTTCCATATCTCCCCTCTACTTCCCCAATGCTTAACTTAAACATGTGTCTTCCCTGCACCCCCAGCTTCCTGTCGTAGCGCTGACCACATTGTCCTGTCCTGGCCTGGTCCCCTTCTGAGGGCAGGCACTGTGTGTGATTCATCTCTCGACCCTGGTGCCAAGGACACAGTAGATGCCAGGTGACTTGGTTGCCCACTCTTCACCATTTCTTCTCCCCTCAACTCCCCATCTCTCCTAGCCTTGCTGAGTGTTCATCATCCACAGGTGAGAGGTGAGAAAGAGCAGCTTTACCTTTCTCAGTCTGAGCTCCTTTCTGGGCAATCTGTCAGGAACCTGCCCTCTGCTGGTGGTCCAGCAGCACCCCCACCCCAGGAAAGGTGAGGATGCCTCCTTCACCTGCCCCTGCTGGTCCCTCAAGCAGCCTCCTCCCACGTGAGCACTGGCTTTTCCCACATTGGAGGGCACTGCCCCATCCCAACCAAGCTGGCAAACAAGGGCCCTTGTCCATAGAATCTTAGAGCACCCATAAGTCAACTCACCTTGATTAAAACTTCAAAGTAGCCCTTTGCGTTGGCAGGGCTGGTGGGCGTATATGCTCTCTGAATCTCTAAGTCATCTACTCTCCCTCTGGGAAAGAGAAGCACTCAGTCAGGCACTCAACAAACCCTGGTGGGTGCCTACTCTGTACTGTGCTGGTGAAAATGAAGGTGCAGCCTGGTCAGTCCGAGGTCCTCGTTGAGGGGCAGGCAAGGTGAAGCAGGGGAAAAAAGAGAACACAGCTCCCACTATTATGTGACAGCCTGGGCAAGGCATCTGACCCCTCAGCTTTCCCTTCTGGAAAACGGGGACAAACATCTGTGTTCCCGTTGTGTCGCTACACTGGGATCACAGAGGGGCATACATTCTGTGATGTGAGTTGTTTGGGGGACATCACTGTGGCTTTTCCTGAGCACAGAATAACAAAGCCATACAGAACTATAACATTTACTAAACATCCCACTGCCATGTGCCAGAAGCCTTGGAACTGGATCATCCAAGGTGCCCTAGTCCCAAGCCCAACCCCACACACAATCCTTCTCCACAATGTTAACAGGGGTCAGATGATAACCAGGAGTAGAGCAGCCAACTTGTGTTAAATGCCTACTGTGCACCAAGAAAATTACATGCATGACTTCATTTAATTCAGACAATAATCCAAATGAGGACACCTAGGCTTAGAGAAGGGATGTCAAGTTGCCCAAGGTCACACAGCTAGAATCCATCCTGTCTGACTCCAGAGCCAAGACCCTCACCACTACTCCTCAGAGCCTCCCAGGAGCACCACACACTCCTCTCTCACATCTTACTACGTGCAAAACTCTCTTCTCTGAGGTATGCAAAGATGACAAAGGTGTCATCTTAATAAATCAAAAGCAGGAGAGCTGGGAAAAAATAGTCAATAAATGCTTATAGAACACATGAGGAACGAACAACAACAAAAAAAAACTATGGTGTGGCTCAGATGCAAAGCACACATGGCGTTTGCTACAATAGGTAAAAGTTGAGGTGCTACAGAGGAAGCAGCCACTCTCTGCTGGGGCACCGAAGAAGGCGTCCTGGAGCTGGGTATTAAAGGATGACCAGGCCATCAAGGCCTGGAAGGGACATGGGACAGGAAAGGAAGTAATTCCAGGCAGAGGGGAAAGGCTAGGCAAAAGCTCAGGGGTAGTATGATGTAGGTCTTCTCAGGAACTGGTGAGTGGATCATGAGGTTGGAACAAAGGGGCAAGAATGGGGGAAGGGAGAATTTGGAAGAATGGAAGCTGGGGCTGAGTTAGGATGTTCGTGGGGAGGCATCATGGAGCACAGGAGATGTCTGAGCAGGGAGGGACACGGTCTGCCATGTGTGTTAGGAATGTCACTGGAGTCAGTGAGAGTGGAAGAAGGGGTATGGCTTACAGGCAGGGAGTTCTGGGCATCCCTGAGGGATGGAGCTATGCATGGGGCTATGAACTGCCCTGTGGCCCCGCTTGTCCCCTAGAATGGTGAGCTCTGAGGACCACCAGCTGGGCCAGAGGCATGAAGGAGCTGGGTACAAACACTATGGGTCAGTACAAGACAAATGGCCAGAGTGTGACCATAAACACACTCGCTTCTGGTTTTCCTGCTCATCCTCTGGCTGCGTCTCCTGTTTCCCTTCTCTTGCCAATACCATAAATGTGGCATTGCCAGGGTTTAGTCCTCTGCCCTTCCCCCTTCCCCAACAAGCTCCCAAATGCCATGTAGGTGTTTGTTCATGATTCCCACATCCAGAGTGACCCCCACACCCACATCTGCAGCTCAGATCTCCCTGCTGGGTCTCATACTCTGGCAGCCCACTATCTGGAGGCCCCAGAGGGTCTTGTCCCCGGGCAGGTAGGGGTGGGGATTGAGGAGAGAGGAGAGTGCAAAAATAAGCCGAGAGGAAGAGGGAACATCAGAGGAGTGGCTAGGAGTTTAAATGGGGAGCCAGGCTGTATTTGAGTCCTGACTCCACAATTCATTGGTTGTGAGACACTGGCAAGTCCCTTATTCTTAATGACAGTGTCCTTTCCATCAACTGGCGCTAATCATATTAGGTAAATGCCTCAGGCTCTAGAGCCAGACTATTTGCCTTCAAATCCTGGTTCAAACAATTCCTAACTGTGTGACCTTGGGCAAGTTACCGAACCTCTCTGACTTGTGTTTTCACTCGTGCATGATAACTGCACCTACCAGATAGGATTCTATGAGGTTTCAATGACTTTATGTACATAAGTACACAGAACTGTGCAATGGATAGTAGGTGCTACAAAGTATTTGCTGTTATTAGCATGCATTATGAAAATGCATTATCTAGTTCAATCCCAAGAACCCTCTGAGTCACATATTATTATATCTACTTTGAAAAGGACAAATGGAGGCTTAAGGGAGGTTGTGCAAGTTGCCTTAGGCCACAGAGCCAGCAAATGGCAAAGCAGGACTGCAAAGCTCTGGTCCTCTCCCTACCTGACGTACCGTAGGATGAGGTGCTGGCCAGGTCGCAGGCCGAGCTGGCTGTTCCCGGGCAGTGCAAACCGGACTTGGTAGGTGTCCTTAGTGAGTTTGCTTATGGCACTGATGCGGAAAGCCAGGAAGGTCTCTGGGCTCAGCTTGGAGGGGGAGCTCTGCAACAGAAAAAAAAAAACCCACAGCTAGAAGCCGGGATGTAAGGGATATGTAAGCATCCTCAAACATGCTTCCCGCCTCCCCAAGAAAAAGCTGGGTTGGCCAGTGAGTCATCTGGATGACAGTGAGATGTCTTACCTTACTGCCCTTTCATGCACATCTACAAAAGCCAGAGCGCCAGACTGAGCTTACCCTCCTTTTCTACCTTCCATAGCTCCTCTCAGCCCTGGGATAATGTGAGCTTCTTAGCTGGATACTCAAGCATGACTCTCAAGCCTCACTTTAGCTCCCATGCATCAGATGCCAGACTTCTCTGTGACCTTCCAAGAAAACCCTGCTGCTTCCTAACTATGTCTTTGTTTGCTCAGACTGTGCCTTCTATCTAGAGTACTCACCTCCAACTTATGAAAGATGTGCAGAATTTAGATGGATGGTCCTCAAAAGATGATCTAATTCTATATCCTTATTTTACATAGGCCTGAGTGGTAGCAGCTTACTTGTCCAAGGTGATACCACAAATTGGGACTCAAATTTAGGTTTTCTAAGTTTTAACTCACTGCTCTTAACATTCCACACACCTGTACCTCTTCCAAGAAGTCTTCCCTGAATACATGATCAACAAATCTCTGTGTTCTGTAAAATGCCTATACCTACCCGATTCACGCCTAGGAACCTCTCTATACACCCCCTTCATTCCCACAGCCCCTGCCATGCCTGAACAGTCAGGGAAAGCGGCCCCAAGCATTTTCACAGCACAGGGATCACCCAGGTAGGTGCCACCACACCAGTCCTCCTGTCTAAGGAGCAATTCTCCCTCACCTGTGGCTCCTTCCCAGTCAGCAGGTTCCTGTCCTTGCAGGCTCGGGCAGTTTCCCACCTGGCCAGGTCTCGGTGATAGAGGTCAAACACACAGGGAGAGCAGCCACTGCCGCAGCACTGGGAGGGCAAGGGCTCGACAGGCCGAAGCTGCAGCCACATGTCCTCATCATCGTCTTCCTCCTGCTGGTCCATCATCAGCCTGGCCTGCGCAGCCCGGACAAGAGGGAGAACAACTGGGTGCTCTTTGCAGAGCAGGCCTGGCCCAGTGAGGAGGCCCTGCTCCCTTGCTAGCCTGCCACTTGTCACTTGTCTCTTCTATCCCTCCCATTCTCCCCAGGGCCTGCTAAGCTCTGTGTGAACACTGGGCACAGGAGGAATCCATTCTTGGAAGGCAGGCGGACAGGACACGACAACCTGGCAACCAAGGTATCCAGACTTCTTCCTGGGCTCTGAGTACTGGACAAACACCTTACAAAGAAAAATCCCATTGAATTTAAAGATTTTTAAAGATAAAGTAAAACATTTATATATATAATTATTATAAAAATATTTTAAAATATGATAACAATACCTTTGTTACCACCAATCCAGACTAAAAAGAACCTTGCCAGCATCCTAGAAGCTATTCATCTGTGTCTCTTCGTGATCACAGCCACCTACCCCGGCAGCCACCTGTGGCTCTCTGTATGATCATTCCCTTGCTTTTCTTTAGTCTTGCCACCTTGCTGGCAACCTTAACCACTACAGTTCAGCTTTGCCCAGTTCTTACCTTTGTGTGGATAGAATCACCCCTGTATTCTTCTGTGTTTTTTTTTTTTTTTCTACTCAGCATTGATGGTGAGTCACTCACCAAATTGCTGTAACTCACTTAATCTTTACAACAATGTCAGGACTAGAGGAGATGGAGAGAGGAGTCTGGAGAGGTTTAATAACTTTCCCAAGATCACATAGCTCCTAAAATGGTAGCACTGAGATTTAACTTCAATTTCTCTGGTGTCAGAACATATTGCTCCTCAACCACAGGAAAACAGGAGGAGATTGTGACAGTCCAGGTGAGATGTCACGAAGACCTGGACCAGGGCAGCTTCAGGGGGAATAAGAGGACAGGGGTGAACTAGAAAAACAGTTAATAGGACTTAAAGACTAACATAATGTGAAGTGAGGGGAAGAGGGGTTGAAGGGACATCCAGATGTCTGGATCGGGTCTCTGGGTGGACAGTGAGATCAAGAAGTTGAGTTTTAGGGGAGGGGAGAGATGACAAGTTCAGTTTGAGGCTTGATGAGTACTGGTGAGGCTTCTAAGTGCAAAATCCAGGTGTCAGTTAGATCACAGAGGTCTAGGTATGTGAGTGCAGACGGAAAGCTGGGTAACAGACACCAAGTAGGGACAAGTGGGCAGAGGGAACAATCGGTGCATGCTAGAGCCTCTGTGAAGGCTGGTGTGCCTTCACCCATCCTGTAAGCACTCACCACACTTGCTCCAGCCCTGGCCATCGTGGTGGACGCACAACACTTTTCAAATGCATGAATCTCTGCCTCATAGCGTTTCCCACTGTTCATAAATGACATGTTCACGTCTTCCTATTCTTTGAGACTATGAACTCCTTGAGGGTAGAAATCTGCTTTCAATTCATTTCATGAAACATCATAGTAGCTCTTTAAAAATACACATTATATGGAAGGAAGGAAGGGAGGGAGGGAGCTAGGGAAGAAGGGTGAAGAAGGGAGTTTGGTTTCAGGACTATTAGGTAAACAGTCTGAACGACAGATCAGTGAGAAAAGCTGAATGGATAGATTTATTCTGAGATGTTTCTGGGAGGGCAGTCGGGGTTTATCAAGGTTCTCCATATTTACATGTGGAATTCTATAGTTTATATAGAAATAGACCTGATTGTCACATCTGCAAGCAAACTATTCACTTAAAATTTTGCAGGTAAAGCAATATGAAAGAGGTTGTTCCCTCCATCTTGTCTGAGAGCAGCAGGGCAAACCTGATGTCACAGAACATTATTTGATGTAAATATCATTCCGCTACAATGCAACTACTTCTAAGAGCACCAGTCTTTGATTTCTTTCTATTCATTCCAGCGACACTTTCTCTGCAGGGGCTGAGTATTTACTGCTGCAGAGGTGCCGGGGAGCAGAGTGAGTGACACTCGTTTCTGCCCTGAAATTCCTGGTCTAGTGGGAGAATCATTCACAAAACAGATAGTTGTTGTAACAATAGATGCCACTTACTGGGCCAGAGTCTGTGCAAAGTGCTTTGTACTGTCTCACTCACCAACCCAAAAGTTAAGCAGACCACTTCCTCATTTTACAGAGGATAAATCTGTGCCCAGGTCAGGAAACCAGAAGCGGTAAGACTGCTACATGCACCTAGGCTTTGTGTGCCCCCAGGTTGCTTTCTCACTGGACTTCTACAAGGCAGGGCACAGTGTGTCTTCATCTATAATTCCCAGCGCCTGGCACTGTGCTGGCACAGAACAGGGGACTGAACTATCAAACTGTCAATGAATTCTATGTGTACCCAGAAACTTTCCAAAGGCACTAATTTCATTCATGCATAAAGTGGTAGGATCAAGGTGTGGGTCAAATTGTGGAACAGCAGATAGGCAAACGGCCAACCTGCTGGAGTACAGGAAAGTCCTGTTACTTGTTTATCAACAACTTCCTCAGAGTCTTTTTTTTTTTTTTGGTAATTTATTTTTGCATACAAGAGCCGGGGTGTAGGCTAGAAGTGTAGCAGGGGTGAGAGGAATCACCAGAGACAGAGTGGGGAGCAGAACAGGTGGATCTACTGAAATATACTGCTAAGGGGAGCAGCGGGGGAGACAGGAGAGGTCTGCTGCGCCATGTGGGTCACCTCCCTGGCCGGGGAGCTTTATAGTGCTGAGACTTAACCCTTTGTGCCACCAGGGAGGCCCCCTACCCAGAATCTTAACCTATAAAATCTTTTCCACTTTACCTGCTTCCCATGACTCTTCACATTGGAGTTTTCAAAGGTCCTAAAGGATGTGTTTCCGGTCTCCCCTATACCATCCACCAGAACACTGGTCCCCTGCTTAGCAACCTTAAGTAACTCCCCATTGCCCGCTAGTGCCCAAGGTTCTCCCTGATCAGAGCCTGCCAAATTCTCTTACTTAATATCACTAGTTTTAGGGGGCAGTCTCTCTGTGTGTAGTCTTTCTTTTAGAGAAGGAAGGGTTTGGCTTCAGAATATCTAGCTCTACTGATCAGGAGCTTTATGATTTTGGGAAGGTTTGGCAACCTTGCAGGCAAGGACTGGGGTCTTATTCTTTCTGTATTCTACCACTAAGGACAAGCCTGGCACATGGAAAGCGCTGGTGACTGATGAGTGCTCAGTAAGTTTACCAATAAGGTCTGGAACCAGGGACAGGGCTTAGTGCTGGGACATAGCAGAGGTAAACAATATACGGTCTCTACCTTCCCAGAGCTTGCAGCTTAGCATGGTGTTACATCAGTTTAAAACAGTTTTATTGTATGCTTTGTACCAGGTATGTATAACAAATGAATGGAATCTGGTCCACTCTTTATGTTGATTTCTTACTCTTGGGGTCTTTGCAAGATGAAATGAGATATGTAAAAGAACTGTTAACTGTAAATGTTTACATAGCAGGGGGGTTATCCATATCAACATTTGCCTTAAATTCACCTTCTGCATGTTTTAATCATTGTACCTTCCCTAGTGTATTGGAAATGGTAGAGAAGTTGGCCGTGTCAGTCATAAATTTTAAAGTCTGGATTCATGCCTCTTCTCAGCCTCTGCCTTTTCAATCTGAAAGGCACCAGTTTTAAGCCAGGCTAAGACACATGATATTGCCTGGATGACTCTCCCCACCCTTTAGCCCTTACCTAAAGGTCACTTCCCCTCAAGGCCTGCCTAAACCTCCCACTTCTCATTCTCTATCATGTCCCTGCCTGTTTCTGTAATGTACTCATTAAATGACATATTTACTATGTTCCAGGCACTGTTCCAGGAGCAAGGCAGACAGTTGTGAAGAAACATACTCCTGCACTCACAGAGCTTGCATTCTAGGGAGAGAGTGATTAAACAAGTTCTAAATGGAAAACATGTTATTATCAAAATACTAAAGAGAATAACTAGGGAAAAAGGATAGTGTTTGTATTGCAACTGCTTATTTATGTACTTCTGTTTACACGTTTTTTGTTTCTCCCACATTTGTTCTTTTTTTTCATTGCCTCTTTGATCAGGTCTTTATACAAAACTAGCTGTCCAAAATGATCTGCCCTCGTACAAACCTGAGGCTCAGCACAGAACCCGACACAGTGGACAACTGACAAGTGTACCGCAAGGAGCAAAGGTACACCTCCATGGCTCTGACCTTGTCACTAGGAGGCGGAAAGGGAAATACCAACAAAGAGGAGACTCACTTTCGGCGCTGAGGAAGAGGCGTGCAGCGGGAGCAGTTGGGTGCAAGTCTGGTGTGGCAGCCTGGGCTACTCTCCGGCTCAGGGAAGGGCAGTGGTAAAAGCACCCATGGTAAAGAGAAGTGTGTGGAGAGGAAAGGAAATTTACAGCGCACCCTCTACGTGTCGACGAGCTTAGACATTTCTATGCCTACTTTTTATGGCAAGGAACACTGGGGCTCAGAGGGAAGTGCCCGGTCTGAGCGCTAAGGGCTAGGAGGAGATCAAAGTGGCCCTGATCTCAGGTTTGAAGTCCTGGCGTTCTCGCCCTAGTCCCGCCCCATCCCCTACCACGACCACTCACCTACGCTCCCGGGCTTCCCCCACACTTGAGCATTCTCCAGGTTTCCCACCCATTCCACCTCCCCCAGGGAGGCGGGGAGCACCTAGCGTTTTCCTCCTATGAGGAAATGAGAACTGTCGGAGGCGCGGGGCTACACAAGGATTCCCTGACTATGATTGGTTCAATTGGCTGCCACTCACAGAAAGAGCCTTGGTGCCCGACCCCTTTCGTTCCCAGCAGGTCTTGCGAACGGGAAGATGGCGGCGCCCAGGAGGAGGTATTGAGGACGCCAGATCGGTATGGCGTTGGCATCGGGGCCCGCAAGGCGGGCGCTAGTTCGCCCCAGGCGGCTCAGCCTTGGGGGTTGTGAGGTCCCGAGTCGCGGGGCTTACGAGTGGGGTGTGCGCTCCACGCGCAAGCCCCCGCCTCCTCCACAGGACAGAGTGTACGAAATCCCTGGACTGGAGCCCATAACCTACGCTGGGAAGATGCACTTTATGCCCGGGCTGGCGCGGCCGGTCTTCCCGCCCTGGGATCCGGGCTGGACACACCCAAAGTTCCGCCGCTTGCCCCCGATTCACGAGCAGCCTCTATACAAGGAGCAGGTCTGCCACGTCTTCCACCAGCGTAGCCGCCTCCTCGAGGGTGAGGCCCTGGGAAGCCCAAGTGGGTCCCTTGTCCCCCTGTTCGGCATTGGTCTTCTGTGGCCTCGTTCAGGACTTTGAAACCGTGGGCTCGGTTTCTTCGTCTGCTAAATGGGACCGATAGTGATTCCCATCTTCTGAGAATTGTCAGGATTAGGTGGGATACCGAGAGCTGTGCTTGCGTGAGGAAGTGTTAGGGAGTTTGCGTGGCTAAGTGAAAAGATCTGGTTTCTAGCCCTAGCCCTTCCTTTAACGGTATGATTTTTGGGCAAGTGACTGAAACTTCCTGAGCCTCCACTTAAGGGGAAATGAACGGTTTTGACGTTTTGGGTCCACGTTGACCCTTGCAGCTCTTGACATCCTGGAGATGTAACTGTACATTTAAGAAATAGATGGAGAGACATTATAGTGCTGAAAGACAGCAGAAAGAGGGCTTAATGCCCTGTCCGATTGCCTCATTTCCTGAATTGGTAATTGTGAGAAAGAGCAAGAGATATGCCCACAGATGCGCTGTGGGTTAATAGTGAGGCCAGGACTACAACCCTGATTTTCCTTAGGGTCTTTTGTCAAAGGTCAGAGCTGAGATATTTTCAAAGACAGTCAAAAACCAAACAAAACAACCTTCTAGCCATTTCCACTCTCCTTTCATTCTCACTTAACACATCAAAATGATAAGCTATACCAGTCTGTCTAGGAACCTAGAGTTTATTTTCCAAAGTCCAAAGTTTGGGGGTAGAGGGGGAGTGGGCCTTGTTCATTGAGAGTCCCTTTCCTCATTCTTCCTTAGTCCCCAAATCAGAATGGGGATATGTTAGTTCCTGAAAACAAAATGGTCAAGGTAAGTGGGAGCAGTATTTTTCAAGGAGTAATTAGGAAGAAATACCTGGCAGAATTTGGGAATTAAGCCAGAGAATAAACCCTAGATTTGAAAAAACTTGAGTCAACTAGCCAACTTCTTAAGCTGCTTAACCCATTTCTGAAAACTGGTTTTCCAGCCTTTAAACACTTCCAGTGTTCCATAGGGTGTTGTGAAGGACCTCACAAGACCTGACACCCTTGATTGACTGTGGTAAATTACCATGTGGATGAATGCATTAGAAATATTTTAGAAATTAAGTTCACACTTGTTTTACTAAGCTGAAAACTTGGTCTGTGCTTTCACCGCATGCAGCAGAAAGGTTCCATAAAGTCTGACAAACTCTAAGATACAGGACTGCGGAAGCAAATTGGGAAAATAGATCATGGATTTTAGGGTAGACAGATTTAGAATCTCCTCCTAGCTCATCACTTACAGGGTATGTGACTTGAAACAAATTCCTTAGTCTTTGAGTTTCATCTTTTCTGTAAAATCCCATCCAATTTGTAGATAAAACTTGTGGCACTAGGTAGGTAGTGATGCTCAACAAATGGCAGTTCTAATTACAGGTACACCTTATTTTAGTGTGCTTTACTTTATTGTGCTTCTCAGATATTGCAGTGTCTTTCCCCCCCCCCCCCCCGGGACTATTCACAGAAAGTAAAACTTGCTGAAGGTTCAGATGATGATGAGCTTGCTTTTTTTTTTAACAATAAAGTATTTTTAAATTAAGGTATATGCATTTTTTAAAAAGACATACTGTTGCACTTAATAGACTACCGTGTAGAATAAACATAACTTTTACATGCACTCATGTTCCAGGTATGCCTGTTTATATTATTCATATACTAGTGAACCATATTTTATCTGTTATCAAGTTTAGGGAACAGTGGTAGTGTCAGAGAACTAAAACACAGATGACCTAACTCCCCTGACCAGGGTTTCTGCTGCTGCACCATAAAATACAGAAGTTACTTTTCTAAATATTTGTATTTCTGACATCTTAGCCTTAAAGTGGAAAATCTCATTACCCTACATTGCCTTTCATTTTTTACCACAAAAGAAATTGCCTAAGGGCATCTCTGCCAAAGTGTCTTAGGCTTTCTTTAATCCCAGACAGTAGCTTTTCAAATGAAGATTTGACATTTGTTCCTGAGTCAGAGTGGTGTTTTTCCAGCTGGGACTGGTAGCCTCCCAGCCAAAGCAGTCAACCAGGCTTCTTGTCAACTTGTAGGCATAACATTTGTTTTTTTTGTTTTTTTGTTTTTTTGTTTTTTTGTGGGACCCTCACCGGCAGCCTGGGAATGAACTGGTGCTGCAGAGGCTGCCGGCAGCCTGGCAGCCCAGCGCTCAACTGCTGCGCCACCAGGGGAGGCCCAGTAGGCATAATAACATATGAAAAGAGTACAGTTAACTTGGATCCAAGGGTAGAGGACTGGTATGTGGACTTAATGCCTATATCCCTAGGCTTGTGTCATTTCTCCCTTAGGGAAATGAGGTATGGAGGAAATGAAGCTAGGGAGCTTTACCTGACTCCATAGCCCATCCTGCTGAGAATAGCTGAAATGGTTTAGTGTTTAAAGACTAAGCAAAGTAGTCTGAATAAAATCTATTTTAGTTTATTTATATTCCATGTTTTCCTGAAAGGTATTTTGGGCATTTTACATCACTTTTACAACACAGTTGAAATTAAAACTATATAGGTGAGGGAATTACCATAAGTCACTGTTCAAGTTGAGTTGAGTTCTGCCTTCTCTAGCTTCCATTCTTCATTTTTAGTTTTGACCAATTAGATGTGACAGGACAAATTTTGTGTCTCTGTCAAGGCAGCATTTTCCTCAAGATGCTACCTGGCAGGCTGAAGTATCTTTTTCTCTTTTTTGTGACTGTTCACCCAAAGGTGTAAAGCAGGCCCTCTGGCTTACTAAAGCTAAGTTGATAGAAGGCCTTCCTGAGAAAGTGCTCAGCCTTGCTGGTGATCCAAGGAACCACATAGAGAACCAAGATGAACGTGTTTTGAATGCTATCTCTCATGCTCGCCTCTGGCACTCCACTGAGGACATCCCCAAGAGAGAGACCTACTGGTAAGTTTCCCTTAAGTCAGTAAGATTTCCAACTGATGAATCTGAAGTCAGTATGTTATGTCATGTCTCCAAATGGCTCTTCTTTTTCCTCCAAGCCCAGTCATTATGGACAGTCTGATACAACTGTGCAAATCCCAGATTCTCAAGTATCCTTCCCTGGCTAGACGGATCTGTGCCAAAAACCACTTGTTTTCCGCCACCTGGAATCGAGGTTGGTTATCTTGTATTCCAAAAAGTCGTTTTTATCTTTCTACTCTTACTCCTACCAACAGGGTACAGCCTCCACTTCCCCGCTCACCATACCTGTCCTCACCCACATCCTACATTGTTCAAGACACATCCTTTAATATCATTAGCCTTAGCCCAGCAACTTTTTTAAATCACTTCTCTCCAAGACAGTTAACTCAAACATATCTATGGAATGTTTATGATGGTTTCAGTGTTGAAGAGAAGAATCGATAAAGCACATACGGTGTCTGCCTTCACAAAGCTCACATTCTACTGCAAGAGTGTCTCACCCATTCATGCTTTTCTCCTTCTCAAAATCTACTTTCCACACAGCTGCTAGAGTGATCTTTCTGAAGTGCAGGTCCTTTTATGTCCCTCGCATTTCAAATCCCTCACTGCCTCTGAATAGCTTAGACCATTTATCATGGTATCAGAGGTCTTCTGTGAATTGGCTACCACTTACTCTTTCTAGTTGTGTCTCCGGCTCTATGCCCCAGCCCATGCCCCAACCCCACATTTACAGTTGTAGGGTTTTGGCATCAGGCTTTTACACCTTTGAGCCTTTGCCATTGCTGTACACTTGCCGGGAATGGTCTTTTTTGCTTTCCTCATTTGAGTAAATTCTACTTGTTTGCAAGACTCAACTGAAGCTCCCTTCCTGTGTGAATCCCGGCCGTGGTAGCTGTTACCGTTATAACCATTATGCCTGTTTTTATCATAGTGCATATTTCACTGTGTTATAATTGTCTATAATTATCTTTGCTGTCTGCCCCACTAAACTGCAATCTCCTGATGGTGGGGACCATGTCTTACCCAATTTGTCCACAGTGTCTAACATATAATTGTTTGGCATATTGTTTATATGTTTGGCATATAATAGGTGCTGACTGATGGGACGGGTGAATGAATACCATCTCTCAGGTGTTTCAGGCAGGGGAGCTTCAGAGAATATAGGTGTTCTCGTTGGGGAGTCCTAGACCAGGGAAACCAGCTATGGAGTAATTTGGGGTTTTCAGGACATCTACTTGGTCAGATTTTCCATCTTGCCCCTTTGAGTATGGACTTCCTGGCAAGGAGTCAGCTTTGCAGAGGTAATGGCACCACTAAGGAAATTAGTGAACTTCATTAATAGAGGAGTACTTGTTGGCCCATCATCAAGTATTACC